TTACATAATAAAAATACTCCTACACTTTCAAATGTATTTTAGTAAAACAAAATCACATGACACATCATGACATCACACACATCTATAACATCCTACACCTATTCATCTTTAAACATCTCGTGACTAACCATCTTCACACCACACCACACACCCACATCACACACCTAAACACCCACACCCACATCACATACCTACACACCACATACCCACATCACACACCCACACACCACACACCTAGACACACACCTAAACACCCACACCCACATCACATACCTACACACCACATACCCACATCACACACCCACACACCACATACCCACATCACACACCCACACACCACATACCCACATCACACACCCACACACCACACACCCACATCACACACGCACACAACACACACCCACATCACTCACCTACACAACATTAGCACATGTGGTGTGTCACCTAACACGCATGAATGAGCTGATTGGTTTGATCATGTTAACTAGTGTATCGATTCCCCATTTTGATCGGTATTGATTCGAGTAATCGATTATCCTTCAACTTTAATTAGCTCATTAATTTGTTGACCAGAGTAGAGATGTTTACAACTTATTGATTTTAAGATTAGATGAGTGTTTTTTTTTTAATCCGGCACCGCGCGGAAGGGAAGGGGGGGGGGCGTGGGTGGGGGTGGGGGTGGGGGGTGGGGTGGGGGGAGAAGTTCGATAAAAAAATATGCAAAACATGGACAAAAGGTAATTCTAGATAAGGGGAGCGTTGATCGTTATAGACAAACCATAATGGTAGAATATATGAGCGTGGGTCATATGGACACAATAAGATGGTAGATTATGATTGCTTGGATCGTATGGCCATAATATGATGGAAGAATATGTGAGCACGGATCCAAACAACATTAATAATATATGTGAATTTATTTGATCATAGATCATACAGACAATCAGTTGTTGACTATACGGAATATTTATAAGAATGATCTTAGAAGGAAAAGAGTAGGCTTGATGACAGAAAGTAATTTATCATTGAAATTATAGATTCTGATATGATTATATGACAACTTATATCATTTTCAGAGCTGAATTGCTGCTATTTTTCTTCTGTAAGAGCATTATTTGATGGTAATTGTAGTTAATAACAGTCATAGAGTTAGCTCGAATTGAATTTATTTAGAAAGTTGATACTACTATTTATTTATATACATATGTATACATACAAACATCTCCCATATATATATATATATATATATATATATATATATATATATATATATATATATATATATCTAATATATAAAGCTCAGTTCTGTATGTAATGCATTTGTATGTCGTTGGAATTGTACGAATTTAAAAGTTAGAAAATTATCGTGCGCATTTGTCTAAATTTATGAGCTAAAAAATTACTATTGAAAGTGTTGGGAAATAATTTTCATTTTTCAAATTACAGTAATAATTGTCGGCATGTTCATTAAACACAAGTTTTAAAAAAAATATCATCTTTTACAAAAATTCTAATTATGTCTTTATTTAGTCCTATAGCACTTACTTCCCTTTGATAAATTAGGAAAAACACAATTATTTCCCTTTATAAAACCATTGCATTCCGTGAAAATAATTTACTTTTTAATTACTTTGTTTTGGTGTTGGGAAAAAAAATAATTACATAATTAGCGGGGATTGATCAAGTGCAAATGTTGTAGGTATTTTACGGATAAGCTTGGAGTATTAAAATTGTTTATTAAATTGAAACAGGCGCGTTCGTTTAAGTGAGTGCAAAAGACTGTGAATAAGTTGGGGTACTATAGTCGTTCATTAAGCTAAAACAGGTGATTCCGCCCCGGGCTTTTATGTTCGCGTTAGTGTTTTCTTTGTGTTTAGGTGGGTTTGCGTTAGTGGTTGCGTTTTAATTTGGTTCGTTTTTGTTCTTTCTTTTTTCGTTTTTGTTTGTGTTTTTTTTTTGTTTGGGTTTGTATTTGTGTTTTTGGTTGGTTTTGCGTTTGGATATGGTTTGTTTTCGTTTGCTTTTTTCGTTGATTTTTTTTTGTTGGTATTGGTGTTTGTGGTTGGGTTTGTTGTTAGGTTTTTGTTTTCGTTTGCTTTTTTGTTTGTTTTTTCTTTGTGTTTGTATAAGTGTTTGTGGGTGTGGTTGTGTTTGTTGTTAAGTTTTTGTTTTCGTTTGTATTTGTAATTGTGTTAGCGTTATGTTTGCGTTTTGTTGTTTTGGTTTTGGTTGGTTGTGGTTTGGGTTGGCAATGCCGGGTTTATGATGATTACTAAACACACAGGTAATGGTCTTTAACAGAAAGGTTTTTCACAGAAGCCAGAGCAGGGCCTGGCCGGGACGGCTAGTATATATATATATATATATATATATATATATATATATATATATATATATATATATATATATATATATATATATATTGTATGTGTAGATCAGACATGCAGGCTTTAGTTGAAGAACACGAACATTGTTTCATCACAGGCCAACAAATTCTGGCCACCGGCCTATAATGTCCGGGCCATTGATCTTCATGCCAACACACAGTTTACCCGTTGGCTGATGTGGTTTTCTCCAGGCGAGTCTGCGGTGTCTTGTGTTGCGGGCTCGTGATTTGACTACGCTTCACCCGTTCTTAGATTCGGCGTCAGTGGGTAGACCCGTTCCCAGACTCCGCGTTAGTGGGTAGACCCATTAAGACTCCGCGTCAGTGTGTAGACAAGTTCCAAGACTCCGCGTCAAATACTACCCCCATGCCTAGACTCCGCGTCAAATACTACCCCACATGGCTAGACTCCGCGTCAAATACTACCCCCCATTCCCAGACTCCGCGTCAAATACTACCCCCATTCCCAGACTCCGCGTCAAATACTACCCCCATTCCCAGACTCCGCGTCAAATACTACCCCCATTCCCAATCTCCGCGTCAAATACTACCCCCATTCCCAATCTCCGCGTCAAATACTACCCCCATGCTCTGACCGCGTCAAATACTACCCCCATGCCCAGACTCCGCGTCAAATACTACCCACATGACTCCGCATGTAGAACCTCGCCTTTCTTTCTGCGTCAAGTTTTGAAGTTTAAAAAGGTTTAAAAAAAAAATCTAAATTATTTCCCTCAATTTTTGTGAGTCACGTGTTATGTAGAGCGTGCTCTATCGACCAGCTAATACATCGGGATTAGATCAAATTGGAGTGTGATTACTCCATAACGAACTGATTGGATAGATCATATTCCGATCAGATTACGACATAATTAACAGAATAAAATATTATATTTCAATCTGATTCCATCGTAATTAACAGGATAAAATGTTTTATTTCAATCTAATTCCATCATATTTAACAGAATAAAAGATTATATTTCAATCTGATTCCATCATAATTAACAAAATAAAATGTTATATTTCAATCTGATTCTACTTCGTTCTTAATTGTATAATATTGAAGAGAATTTCCTAAACAATGAAGTCATTACGTATCAACCTGTTTTGCACCACTCGATTCTGTAAACCAGTCTTAAGCATGTTTTTCTTATTTGCAAGGCAGCAGCTGTTTCATTTTAGAGTTAGGTTTTTGTCCCTAGCCTCATGTAGTCTTGGGTACGAACTCGGGACGTTTGCAGCTAGCAATCCAACTCTCACCTACACGACATCGCCGTCCCATAATTCCATAATAATTAACGTGATGAAATGATTATATTACTTTGTAATTCCGCAATCATTAACGTGATAAAATGGTCATATTACTTTGTAATTCCGCAATCATTAACGTGATAAAATGGTCATATTACTTTGTAATTCCGCAATCATTAACGTGATAAAATGGTCATATTACTTTGTAATTCCATTATAATTAACGTGATAAAATGGTCATATTACTTTGTAATTCCATTATAATTAACGTGATAAAATGGTCATATTACTTTGTAATTACATTATAATTAACGTGATAAAATGGTCATATTACTTTGTAATTACATTATAATTAACGTGATAAAATGGTCTTATTACTTTGTAATTCAGCAATAATTAACGTGATAAAATGATCATATTACTTTGTAATTCCGCAATAATTATCTTGATAAATTATTATATTACTATGTAATTCAGCAATAACTAAAGAGATTAAAAAAATATTATGCTACTATGTAATTCCGCAATAACTAACGTTATTAATTCATTTAAATTCACGATTTTATAAGCCTTTGACTTAAGGCACGATTTGTGTTAACAAATCACCATCTTATTTTTCAGTTTGTCAGAACAAAAATTCAATTATTTTTTCCTTTGTTAAACAATTATTTTATTTTTTTAACAGAATACTAGTTCTATTCTTTAAGCTGCAAACAAGTAGCGATACAAATAATACAATTTGTTTATTTTTCTTTTGTTACAATTTTTAATCTTTTTTTTTGGTAATAGGATTCTGTAAAAATTTTTTCGTAAAGACTAATTCGATATTTTTTTTTAAATGGAGCACCGATTCAATTTGTTTTACGTTTAATAGAAGACCGATCCAATTATATTTTTTGACAGACGACTAACTGAAATATCCTTCTGTCAGGGACCCTCAACTAAAGAAATCAATTTCTGAAACGCTGTCAACAAAAATATTTTCTGATGAAAACCTAAAAATGATAAATTTTAGATGGACTTATGTTTTGTTTTCATTGACCACAAGTTAAATAATTATGTTTTCAATCATCCTCAACGTGAAGAAGTTCCTTCTCTAAGGGACCGCAAGCTGAGACACATATTGCTGTTGTGAGCAAACGTCAAAATTTAGAGCAGTACAATTTTTTTAAACTTTCGGAATTGAAAAACACAGAAGAATTGTCACATTGTTACAAATCTACAACATAGCGGGTACAACCTTTCATGGTTTTAGAAAGGTTTGTTAAAAGTTTGTGGACGTTTCTTTATAAACATTCAAACTGTTTTAAAGATCACCAAACATCAAATTTGATGTCAACATCGCAAAATTTGAGGGATTTGTTTAACGTTTTATAACTTTTAGAGAGGCGGGAGTGGCAGGCTGTGGAGAGGGTTTGGAGGAAATAGGACGAGAGGTATCAAGATACATGGGAGGAGGTGGGTGAGAGGTGGGGAGCTGTTGGTGGGATGTGGGATAGAATTGAGTGGGACATGGATAGCTGTGGGTGGGATGTGGGGGAGAATTGAGTGGGACATGGATAGCTGTGGATGTGGGGGAGAATTGAGTGGGACATGGATAGCTGTGGGTGGGATGTGGGGGAGAATTGAGTGGGACATGGATAGCTGTGGGTGGGATGTGGGGGAGAATTGAGTGGGGCATGGATAGCTGTGGATGTGGGGGAGAATTGAGTGGGACATGGATAGTTGTGGGTGGGATGTGGGGGAGAATTGAGTGGGGCATGGATAGCTGTGGATGTGGGGGAGAATTGAGTGGGGCATGGATAGCTGTGGATGTGGGGGAGAATTGAGTGGTACATGGATAGCTGTGGATGGGATGTGGTGTAGAGTTGAGTGAGCTGTGGATGGGATGTGGGGGAGAGTTGAGTGGGACATGGATAGCTGTGGATGTGGGGGAGAATTGAGTGGTACATGGATAGCTGTGGATGGGATGTGGTGTAGAGTTGAGTGAGCTGTGGATGGGATGTGGGGGAGAGTTGAGTGGGACATGGATAGCTGTGGATGGGATGTGGGGGAGAATTGAGTGGGACATGGATAGCTGTGGATGTGGGGGAGAATTGAGTGGGACATGGATAGCTGTGGGTGGGATGTGGGGGAGAATTGAGTGGGACATGGATAGCTGTGGATGGGATGTGGTGTAGAGTTGAGTGAGCTGTGGATGGGATGTGGGGGAGAGTTGAGTGGGACATGGATAGCTGTGGATGGGATGTGGGGGAGAGTTGAGTGGGACATGGATAGCTGTGGATGGGATGTGGTGTAGAGTTGAGTGAGCTGTGGATGGGATGTGGGGGAGAGTTGAGTGGGACATGGATAGCTGTGGATGGGATGTGGTGTAGAGTTGAGTGAGCTGTGGATGGGATGTGGGGGAGAGTTGAGTGGGACATGGATAGCTGTGGATGGGATGTGGGGGAGAGTTGAGTGGGACATGGATAGCTGTGGATGGGATGTGGTGTAGAGTTGAGTGAGCTGTGGATGGGATGTGGGGGAGAGTTGAGTGGGACATGGATAGCTGTGAATGGGATGTGGGGGAGAGTTGAGTGGGACATGGATAGCTGTGGATGTGGGGGAGAATTGAGTGGGACATGGATAGCTGTGGATGGGATGTGGGGGAGAGTTGAGTGGGACATGGATAGCTGTGGATGGGATGTGGGGGAGAGTTGAGTGGGACATGGATAGCTGTGGGTGTGGTGGAGAGTTGAGAGAGAAGAGGAGAAAGAGTGGGGTTTATTTGGATAACACGTTTCTCAAAATCCACACACAATTTACATACGTCCCTGCTTAACACTTTAAGCTGTATCAATTGTAAATTTTCTACTTTGAATCGGTTAATCATCACATACATATACAACATCCCAGGCTGAGTTGTGTTTAGGTACAATTTTTTTGGAGAATGTTCACTTAATCTCAATGTGTGTAGTGTACTTTTGTTAAAGTCAAGACTAGAGTAAAACGTATGCCACAAGTGTGTTTGTTAACCTAAACTTGATCGTGTATGTCCCACGTAGTGTTTGCTAACCTGTAGTCAATATGGTGTAGCTTACAGTTGCTAAAGAATAGACCAGCGTTAAACTTGATCGTGTGTAAAATAAGACAAACAGTTTTTTAGTGTTAATAAAACATGTAGGGTTGCACTCGCACACCGATGCGATGAGTACTAAACCAGGACACTATAATTTACACGATACAATTCCAGTTTCTCCGCTACGTTTTAAACACGCATGTCTAGTGCTACTACTTTATTTATCGGTGAATGTTACATTAGTTATTTTAAAAAAAAAAACATTATCATACATATCATTGTCAATCGATTCTGAAAAATATCGATCCTAAATTCGTAAAAAAGTTCTTTCACAAATGCGTTTTTAAGTTTCAAAGTAGCTGTAAAAAAACAGAGAAAACAAATCTATTTGTGTCTTTTAAGACACGGCCTAGAGAGTCCTATTGACAAAACCTAAACAGAAGAGGAAATTAAGGGAACCCAAATTGTCGTTTTAGAGAGATTTAAATAGAAATAGACAAGTAAAGGGACAGAATAAAACCCAGCAACACCAAAAACAAATTCACTCACCGTTTTCTTTGATCAAGACGGGCACGGCTCCCAAACGTGAGTACTATAAAAATGCAATTAAATGCAACCTGTTATCGAGCAGGGTGTGTTAAATGTCGTCGGATAGCATCTACGAATCCACTTCCACCCTCAGCGTGGAACAATCCACTTCCACCCGCCGATGTCGATTTCTTCACCCCCTCCCCCCTCCCCCCTCAGTGCCAGCTCCGCTAGAGACGAGAGGTTTGAAGCCTGCGTGCCGACCAAATATTGACGTCGGCTTAAAATAGATCTAGATCGATACAACCCTCAAACGCGCGGGACTCAGATTTTCACGTCTGCTGTGAGGTTTTTTTTTCTCTCTCTCTACACCGACCCATCACTAACCTGAATCGGTCTCAATGCTCAATCACCCCCCCCCCCCCCTTTCCATCTCCTACACCCCCGTTTATCATATCATTTTTTTTGTATTGATTATTAGCAGTTTTACATCACAATCACAGATCGCCCCTAAAGATGGCTGAAGGAGCTGAAATTATGCCCCAGCGCCAAAGATTTTTCTAGGCTATAGGGCGCGAGTCTGAACAGTGAGAAATATTTAAACTTGAATTTCTAGGCTATAGGGCAAGAGTCTGAACAGTGAGAAATATTTAAACTAGAAACGGAACAAATTTAAAACGAGGACGTGTAAGAAGTTTTAGGAAGAAATTCTAACGAAGAGAAATGTTGGAACTTCCTGTATGGGATATGGGGAGAGCTGTGTCATTTGTAGACCATATTTCCCGACAAGTTAGACTTCAGTAGCAAAGTTTAAAGCTTTCATTTGTAGACCATATTTCACGACAAGGAAGAATTCAGCTGCAAAGTTTAAAACTGTCATTTGTAGACCATATTTCACGACAAGAAAGAATTCAGCAGCAAAGTTTAAAAGCTGAGAGCTTTAACAAGAAACATGACATCAACGTTTGTGGTTTAGGTGATGTGACCTTATTGTTGTTTATCATAACGTGTTCTGTGTAGAGAGTATAGCAGATAATGACGTCAGCAATAACAATAACCACACGTAGTAGACACTGTTGATAATATATACAGAAGAAATACTAACGACTCCCTAAAGGGCGAGGTGGGTGAATATTACTAACACAGTAGCTGTATTGACACGAACTTTTGTTTTTAATTGCTAGACTATGTATAATGTGATAGCTTGTTAGCTTGAATCATTTTGTATGTGGAGACCTATGGTGGTAGCTTATATGGTAGTAGATTATATGGTGGTAGCGTTATAATAGTAGCTTAATAATTGTAGCTTATGTGTCGGTAAGTGCTAGCTTATTGACAGTAACTTAGGTGATGGTTGTTATTTCTTTACGTAGTAAAACGTAACTGTATCAAACAGCTGAAGTCTCGTTCTAACCAAGTGATATTGTTTGTAGAGATTGTGTGTTGTTTGTGTGTTCTGGTGACGATTTTGACTAATTGTTGTGGTGCAGTGTGCTGGCACATGGTTGCTAATTTAGTAAAATTCACTGTAATAAAAACGTTAAATACAAAAGAACTCATAACGGAACAGACACTCTAAAACCACCCACAAACGTATTTTCGTGTATAACACTCAGGATCCAACTACTATAACTCTAGTAGAGTCTGAAAGACACGATCCTCCCCCCTTCCATCCATGCCATTATCTATATTCTATAACACAACACCTAAATCCTCCCCACTTCCATCTATGCCATTATCTATATTCTATAACACAACACCTACATTCTCCCCCCTTCCATCTATGCCATTATCTATATTCTATAACACAACACCTACATCCTCCCCCCTTCCATCTATGCCATTATCTATATTCTATAACACAACACCTACTTCCTCCCCCCTTCCATCTATGCCATTATCTATATTCTATAACACAACATCTACATCCTCCCCCCTTCCATCTATGCCATTATCTATATTCTATAACACAACACCTACATCCTCCCCCCTTCCATCTATGCTATTATCTATATTCTATAACACATCACCTACATCCTCCCCCTTCCATCCATGCCATTATCTATATTCTATAACACAACACCTACATCCTACCCCCTTCCATCCATGCCATTATCTACAACACACCACCTTACAACCCCCTTCCATCCATGCCATTATGTAAGAAAGACCTCAACCACACCCCAACACACACGACCCCCACCCCCTTCGATCCATGCCATTATCTATAACACAACACCTACATCCTCCCCCCTTCCATCCATGCCATTATCTAGCCCTCAACCATTGCTTGACACCTTCCACCCCCCCCATACTGCGATTATCTAAAACCCCTACCACACCCTAACACCTTCCACCCACCACCCATACTGCGATTATCTAGAAACCCCACCCACAGCCTAACACGACCGATGCCTCCCCCCACCGATGCTGCCATTATCCAAGACTTATCACCAACAGACGACACTTGAAGAGCAAGAGCCTGAAGATTGCAGCTTGTTGCATCTCACGCGCGTCATCAAGGGCAGACTCGCAGATCAATTTTTTTACATATATATAGCAGCAAGACTACTAGAGGTAGATAGCTGGGTCTAGCAAGTAGAGGTATATAACAGGGTCTAGCTGTAGCAAGTAGAGGAAGATAACTGGGTCTAGCTGTAGCAAGTAGAGGTAGATAACTGGGTCTAGCTGTAGCAAGTAGAGGTAGATAACTGGGTCTAGCTGTAGCAAGTAGAGGTAGATAACTGGGTCTAGCTGTAGCAAGTAGAGGTAGATAACTGGGTCTAGCTGTAGCAAGTAGAGTTTTATTAGAGGTATCTAACTAGGTCTAGCTGTAGAGGTAGATAACTGGCTCTAGCTGTAGATGTAGATAACTGGGTCTAGCTGTAGAGGTAGATAACTAGGTCTAGCGATAGATAGTAGTGGAATTGTGTGCATTTTAAAAAAGAAAAGGAGGTTTGGCTTTTTAAAAAATATGTATTTGGTATGTTAAAACGATTTTAAAAGCATATTCAATTCATAATCTCACATAGTCTTTCTTAAGTTGCGGGAAAACAGAATGTAAGATCATACTATTTCCTTTAAATGAAGAAGCTTTTTTTTTTCTCCTAAGGAAGTCCTCGATAAAAGAAGAAAAAGTTTTCCCTCGCGGTATTTACACTAGGAAAAAATAATGATTGGACCTAGCACGGGTGTTCAAACTGTCCAAAGTAAGGGACAGATTTATCAAGGGACACACGAGGGTCAGTCTAGGGACGTCATATGGGTCAGTGTAGGGACGTCATATGGGTCAGTGTAGGGACGTCGTATGGGTTAGTGTTGGGACGTCGTATGGGTCAATATTGTGACGTCATATGGGTCAGTGTAGGGACATCATATGGGTCAGTGTAGGGACGTCGTATGGGTCAGTGTAGGGATGTCATATGGGTCAGTGTAGGGACATCATATGGGTCAGTGTAGGGACGTCGTATGGGTCATTGAAGGGACGTCTTATTGGTCTGTTTAGGGATACCATATGGGTCAGTGTAAGGACGTTAAGTGGATTAGTCTAGTCTTCTTCGTTTTTAATTTTAGTGTTTGAAGGGATCCCCTCCAACACAATTAAGCGGTACGTGTCAACTGGTTATGCGCCATTGAGGCCAATCACTCCAATTTCAGCCTGCTTTTCTTTTTGGATTTGCTTCCTTAGCATTTGTCCAACCAAGAAAAAAACTACAAGGCATCAGTTGTTTGATTTTGGAGTTGTCTCCTAGAAGAGTAGCTGAGACCCAGCTAACAAGCCTCATCTGCCCTAAGGTTCGAACTCGGGACTTTTCGGTTTAGCAACCATGAGCTTTACCACGCCGACCCCTAGTTCAATGACATCATATGAGTCAGTCTAGTAATGCCATATGGTCCAGTCTATGTTTGTGATGTGGGGGCGATCCAAATAGGTCATAAAAGGGTCTTTGGGCCAATCTTTTTGGAGCAGATAAAGTAAGTCATTGTGTTAGGAGACATTGGACGGTGTGGTTGAAAGGTAGACATACCGGAGTCTCGAGTTCTATTCCGGGTTCAAGTCTGTAAACGTGCCTGGGTCCACCCAACTCTGAAGGGTACCTAACTTACGTTAGGGAAAGTAAAGGCGGCTGGGCATAGTGCTGACCACACTATATCATTTCATATGCCAAAGTCATATAAGCAGTTGAGCTCTACTTCCCTTACCCCATGGACCAATCGGTTTGAAAGTGAACTTTACAATTTTTTTTTTGGAGATACAACGTTGGCATTTTCGTTGACACAACCTGGGTCAATGTCCTCAAAACAATGTGTCATTAAATCTGACCAGTTGAGTCTAACAACACTGTCCTTGTGAGCTGGTCTGACCCAACACATCCATGACGTCATAATAAATCCTTCAACATTCTCTGCCATCGTTATATCCAGAGCAGTAAAACCTCTCATTATCAACATTAGCCAAACAGGTTTGGTTACACATCTTTTTAAACGAATACAAATTATTACAAAACCATCCCGAAGCCCCGCCTCTTTTCTGTCAGCTCCATTTGACGTCACATCCGCGTCAACAAAAAAATTAAAAATAAAACAAAAACTTCTTGTCATCGACTGGGCTCCTCACAGTGCCGTCTTCCGCTAAGTCACATCAATACAACTCCAATATTTATTGCTGTCTGTACCCTCACCCCCCCCCCCCCCCACCCCCACCCCACAAATGTCCTACAGCTGGTTCGGTCTTCGCACATTTTTCTATGAAACGGATGAGTTCAATACACCCCTACATGATCTTAGAAGTGGACCATCCACCCCCACCCCTCCCCCAGTCCACCCCCACCCCTCCCCCAGTCCACCCCACCCCTCCCCCTCTCGATGGTCGAGCTGTTAAATGACCAGTGTTTTAGTCAAAAGAGAATTAATCAGCTGAGGACTGGATAACGATCGGTTCCTGTCTGTAGCAGCATCGATCTGTCGTATCGATGTGTTGGGGGTTGACCGTTTCGTTCACCGGAATCGACCGTTTCGTTCGTGGGAATGACCGCTTCCTTTGTGGCCAAGTTTTAAACTTAATTCTGAAGGTTCTAACTAAATTACCAGGGGGGGGGGGTGGACACTGTTGAAAGTATATATTTTCTATATAAATTCAATTTCTTTCGAAGAGATGCCTAGAGAAACTTTGTACAAAACTGTTATACTTGGTGTTAAAGGTTTCATGATCAGATTTTAAACGGTAATGGTTAAAATTTAAGGCGACAGCCTCATTTGAATAATTCGTAATCTTAAAATCCCGTTTGGTGAAGTTCGAATCTCCTAATCAGTTTTTAGAACATACTAGTTTAACAAGGTTTACTATCCGAACAAAAACATTATGTTTAATCAAGTTTTTATATTGCGAACCCATTTGTAACTATTTTGTTGCTAAGATATGTTTTGAAGACATTTAAAAACAAGTTAATTAAAAAAGTCTAGTGACATTTATGCGCAATTTCCTTATGTTATCTAAAAAATAGCTCTGACGTATAATGCTGGGGTGAGTTCAAGCTAGAAGAACGATCGGTTTGTAGGTGTTTATGTAATTTTAAAATTTGTGACCGAACGAGAGGATATTTTTGAAAACTTTCTTCGGCAATATTGTTCTAAATTATGGCATGAATCGATTGGTACATGTTTCAAGTCGCTAAGTGGTCTGGTTGCCGAGATATGGGAAAAAAAACTGCATTTTTTCGAGGTTTTTTGGCTTTTCCTGGAAATCCATGAAAGAAACCCGGAATTTTTATGGCCTATGTTCCTTCTCGTAACTTGCTTAAAATAATTGCTTTTGGAACTAGTCATCGATATTGCTTCGTTGAGGAGGAGATACGACTTAAAGCCCGGACACACATTCATACATCCATACATTCCCAGAAATGACGAGTTAATAAACGCAATTCTCCAGAATGGAAATTGCGCTAAAAATGTTGTGATAGACAAAAAATAACATAAAAAAACAAAAACAAAAAACAAAAACAACAACTGAAATTGTCACAATACCGACCTAGCTGGACATCAACAAAAATGATAGATCTATGTGTATACTTGGTTTAAGACTTACGAGAGATCAGTAGTATATAATATTGTGAGCCACAAAAGTTGAGTGATCGTCGACATGGAAAAACACAGGAAGTTGGTTCGTTTTTTAAACAGTCTTTTGTAGTTTGTATGTTGATGAAAGAAATGGTATACAATTAGACTTTCTTTTATTTTCGTACTTTTTCTTTCTGGACACAATGGCTTTTTATTATAGTTTGGTGAATGTTGACTGCGCTACTTACACATTTTTTTTTTGCTGACTCAAACTGAGGCCGTTGTAGTTTTTCTAATCAAGATGTTAAGAGCAATTTTCATCACAAATATAATTTTGGTCACTAGATTTGGTAACGTAACGTTGGTAAGTTTCTTTAGATGATACAAGTTGTGACGTAGTAGGGTACTTGAGGTTACTTCACCAGTAAGATATAACGATGAATATGGGAGTCGAAATGGTCGTTGCGTTGTGTACGCTTATATAAGCACAATCTTTTTGCTAGATTAAAATATGTTTAGTGCAAAATTTGAATCACGAACGACTCATTTTGACAATAGATCTTCTACTGCCCAGAAAACTTTGTTTGAAATAAGTTCTCTGGACTAAATCTGTGCTGACTCATCAGGACGGGTGAGCAGCTGAGATAGATGGCCTGCACGCAGCTAAATCAACGGCTGGGACAAATCGCTCAACCGACGAGGTGACGGTACCCTGGTGAAATGTTGGTGGCTAACTGCTATGGGGGGGGGGGGGGAGGGGTGTGTGTGTGTGTTTGGGAGGTGAGGGGTGGGGGTTTAGGGGTGAGGGAGGGTTTGAGAAATCACACAACAGACGGCAACTGGGTGTAAAATGTTTTAGCAGGACTGCTGTGGAGATGGTACTCACTGTGTTGATGAGAAACGGTACTTAAAGTTTAGTTACTAACATTACAGGTAAACAACTGTAGTAGGCTGCTAGCTAGCAGTGTTTAAAGTTGATACTTCAGTGATCAAACCACTCGTCTTAAGTTTACCGTAGTTTTAATTATTTCAGATTAAAAAAAAACAAACTACGATTGTAAATTTGCCTCACATCTTTTTAAAGTGTTTATTTTAAATGAATGTATTACCATACCTCATGCGTGTGGTCAAATGGTAGAGCACTTGAATGCTATTCTGAAAGTCTCACGTTTGGTTACAAGGCTTGAGTCCACGATGTTAAATACCTATTGTTGTTGTGAGGACCTCAGGCGTGTAATTTACAACGTCAGTTTACCTTGACGTGTTAGCTTCAGCACTAGTTTGTAACTGATAGATCCCAGATATGAGTTAATTTTTTTTTTTAAGTTTGTATATAAATTTATTTACTGGAACCAAATATATGACTCATTACAAAAGATGCTTTCATTTTCATCACTACCACCAAATGTTTTCCTTTGTTGTTTTCCTTTGTTCCCAGATGATGTGTCATTTACATCAGTCCAAGTAAATTTAGGCAAATACTTTATATTCCATATGCAATTAAACCAAGGATTCCTTTTTTTGCCACCAACTTGTGTATTGCTCAAAGCCAGAGCCACATATTTGGCTACACTCTTCTTTGAGAATTCTACCCATCCTTCAGTAAACAGCAGGCCTTTCTTATAAGAGTAGCTTTTTTCCACGGGTTGAAAAAATGTTCTGTTAACTTCACCAAACTCTCCAAATACATTTCTTAACTTTTGAACGCTCATATATTCTGAAACTGTGCTTAAATATATTATTCCGGGTTTGTCTTTATTATCTTTTTGTTTATTGGCTTTTGAATTACTTGAAGAAGTAGCATGTTCCTCAATTTTTTCGTCCATATTTGTTCTTGTGGGTGCCAGATATGAGTTTTTTTTTTAAATTGAAAAGATTTTATTTTTAAAACTAAAATGACTTAGATCCATTGAAATGAGATAATTAATTTGTATTTTACTGTTAAAAATAAATGCAGAATATAAACAGCTCTTATGTTATTTAAACATTAAAACTGCTAATTTGCTGTGCTTGGATGATAAATGAGAAAAAAAAAAGATACTGTGAATGGTTTCACTTAAAAAAATGCTCTAGTTGAATAACATTAAAAAATACACCTTTTTGATTTTGTTAACACCGTGTTAATAACAAAATAAAACTTGTTTAAGATGAAATGCTTAATGCTTATGTTTGCAAGCAAAAAAAAAAAAATACAATCCAACAAAAGAATTTTTATGGTTGTGTTCAGCTTATGAAAAAAATATCAATGACACAAAAGGTGGGTATAACAGCATTATATACTTTGTATATAAAAAAACCAACAAATCAGTTACATGTTTCAATATTTAATTTACAGCTTTGTTTTTTAACTATATGATAAAAGGAACAGATCACAAAAACGAATCACACCACTGCTTCAGACACTGATAGCAATCCTCCTGCTGTTTAGAATTGGCAGCACAGATATCTTTTAACCAATCCTTGAAGAGACTTTCATCTTTTTTAAAAAGAAGATACTGGCCTAGAACTACATATGCCTTATCATAATTTTTTTCAGTCAAGCGTGAACCCAGTGCCTCACCAATCCCAGCCAGCTCATACACTGTCTTCTCCCCCATTGGCTCGGAGACAAAGTTCTGATGTTTTTTTGATGTTGACGACATGTTGATTTCTGTGGAATTGTGTAGTATTAAAACAACTGTTAAACTATTCGAGCACTAGGGGCCTATTGAAATATGTGATTTCCCCAGATATGAGTTAATTTTTTTTTTTTTTTTTTTTTTCACACCATTTGTTGCCCCAAGAACATCTTCAGGATTCTCTCCCTTCTCAATATGTCGATATAAAGTTCTTCTCTGCCTTTCCTTTAAGTGCTGAACTTCAAATTTTAATTGCTCTTCTTGGGCTTTCTTTTCTTCCTCACTCTGCCCCACCTGTATTATACTATCTTGTTTGGTATTACATTTAGCACAAACTTTAACTTGGGTTGCACAAGGCTGACACACTGTGTAATAAGCTCTCTTCACAGTTTTCTTGTGACATCTGACACATGTAGCAGGCTGGGATAATGGTTTGTATTTTTTGTACTTTATTTTCCATTGAATTATATCCTTACAGCGTAGACAAATGCCTTCAAAATTCAAGTTGTTAATGAGTTTTGTTTTGTCAGATTTATCATGCATATCATTTTTGAAGGCTCTGTTATTCTGATATTTCTGTTTTCGTGTGCGAGAAACATTGCCACGTTGTGAGCTCATTTTCTTAGTTTAGAATTGTGACGAGTTAAGGAAGGTAATGTGACGTGACATTTCTGAAGAGATTATTGTATGGTGTAAACGCACACATAAGAACCCTGGAAACAATCAACGTGGTATGGTTAGATTGCGAAAACATATACACAGGCGAAATGTCTTGCTAGAATATGTGGGTTTGTGTACCACAGCAAAGTCTCTGTCGTGTCAATCGTATAAACACTATAATCAGTGTTTGCTTTTAACTTGTCCGATGGATCGACTTGTGCTGCACTTCAAAGAGTTTAGCCAGCAAGACGTAGTTGTCGCCCTTTAAGGCAATAATAATAGTTGTCACCCTTCACTGCAATGATAATGTACGCGGAAGTTACCCTTAAAGTTATATCGATATATTGGCAGTGGCATTCTCATTCCCATATATATATATATATATATATATATATATATATATATATATATATATATATATATATATATATATATATATATATATATATGTTACGGTCAAAGCCCGAAGTGCGGCCAAAGCCCGCATTTGCCGGCCAAAGACCGAAATCAAGCAAAGTTTCGGAGTTTGACCTGTTAATTGGAGGCGATATTGGCCAATGCGCGTATTGGCCGACTTATATACATATATATATAAATATATATATATATATATATATATATATATATATATATATATATATATATATATATATAATGTGTGACGTTTTGCTATGTAAAGTTTATTTTAGTTAAGTTTACAATGGAAGCCTTATAGTCAAATCTGAGCGCCACTGGAGGCTTATTCCCAACAGAACTCCAACAAGACTTCACCTGTGACGTAGCAAGGTGATCTGGTTGCTTACCTTGGCTTTAAGTTGAGAACCAACTCAATTATTTTAACTAGTACTTATCTCTCTCCTTATTTTATTTCTTTTTTGTCATAACTTTCACACTTAAATATTAACATTAAAAAAAAAGTAATAATTTTTCAATGAAAATTTACTGCTATGGGACATCACTCTAGAAATACATTTTAAATAAAATTTCATCAGTTACAGCCCTTTCAGAGCAACAAAGAAGAAATAAATTATTTTTTTTTACCCATGGACCAGAGTACCCGCCCTAAATTTATTAAAACACTCCAACAATGTAAGAAATCTTTCAGCTTAACTCTGGGGCGGGGACTGTAGGTGTCGGGTGGATGTGCGTGTGTGTGTGTGTGTGTGTGTGTGAAGAAAGCATTGGATAAACACTTCTATAAAGTAAAGTGTCCTAACCCCTCCCCCCCCCCGCCTTCCCCCGCCTTTTTTCGGATGGACAGTTTTAACTACAAGAGGAGGTTGTCAGTGTAAATGTTATGTAACGCCACAAGTGTTAAGGGTGGGCGAACACAAATTCTTTTAACTGCCTTAGAGTGGTTGGGTTGACCCTCTGTATAGAATTCTTCAAGCTCCGTAAGAATTTAACTTAAGTTGAGTAATTCTAAGAAATAACGTCGACATTGGCTTAATATTTTAACTCACAATTTATGAGATCAGTGACAATTAACAATGCTGAATGTTACAAGATATCGTATATATATATATATATATATATATATATATATATATATATATATATATATATATATATATATATATATATATATACATATATATATATATATATATATATATATATATATATATATATATATATATATATATATATATATATATATGTTTGTATACACACCTACATACACAAATATATATAACAATGCTGGATGTTACAAGAAAACGTATATATATATATATATATATATATATATATATATATATATATATATATATGTATACACACCGTCATATATATATATATATATATATATATATATATATATATATATATAGTCTGAGAACCGCTGTTCCCTATAATCCCAAGTGCAGTGCGTGGCGTTGCAGAGTGGAATAGTTTCGTGTATTGCATAGACATTTCGTCTTGAATTCACGTTTTCAATTTGCTAGCCACTCCAAGGTTTTGATGACATACAGAGAGCTCTCATAGTTTAATGACTACGGTGAAGAGATTTCTTGGGTAGGGGTAGCTGGGCGAGGTATGAAAGACTCGAACATTTTTTATATTGTTTTCGCCGCTATCGACATTTGCGAGAATTATCTGACGTTGTGAAAGTGTGAAATTAGGTGGTAGAGGGTGACGATGAATAGCTTTGTGATATTGAATTGAGCTAGGCAGGAGACATACTGCAACCTTACGCTTCGTTTACTTGTAAACAGAGTTTTTTTTTTTACATAAGCTAATCAAGTTTTTTTTTGTTTAGGTTAAGGCGGACTTAAAGAGAGCTGTTTAAACGACAAAACTTGCCGTAGACTGAAAAGACCAGTTTACCTGTAACCCGTTTCATTGAGTTGCTCAATAGGAGAATCAGTAGATTACACATAGAGGTTGGCTTACAATACATGCACCAAGTGACGTGGGGTGTTGTCATGATGCGGTTGACTAATATGACGGAGGGTGTATCAGAGTATGGGCAAGTGATCCTATGGAGGGATTCAAAACTTAGCAGTCGACCTACTCAGAACTTAGCAGTCGACCTACTTTAGAAGTTGTTGCTGAATGGATGAACTCAACGATTGCTGCATCTGAACTACATAAAAAACATTACATTTGATAAAGTTTATTCCAACCTATTAACCCAGTCATGATTTTCACGCAAGCCACAATTATGTCGTCATAATTAATATCCGAAGTAGGGGGAGCAAATTAAACAAAATTGTTTCGAACTTCGAACAAAGATCTTCGTTTTTTAGATAACCAAATATCTTAGACAAGATTTCTCTAAGACAAAATGTAAGTAAAAGTAAAGTTCCCTTTCAAACCTGACGGCCTACAGGGCAAGTGAAGTAGAGTTCACTTGTTTTTGTGACCTCGGCACTATGCACAGCCGCCTTTACTTTCCCTAACGTGGGTTAGGTACCCATCAGAGCTGGGTGGACTCAGAGACAGTCTACTGACTTGAACTCGGATTCGACCTCGAGACTTACGGGTTAGCGGTCCAGACAAAATATCTCAGGGCAAGCGTTGTGGCAAGAGGACAGCGTGGTTGGGTCGTAGAGCGTATGGCTGCTAACCCAAAAGTTGCAGGTTCGGACCCCATGAGAAGAGGCTCGTAAGCTTGGGGCAGCAACCATTTAGGAGAGAAAACTAAAAGAAATCTAAACTGCTACCTTTCAGATTTTGCTTGGTTGGACCAAGGCTATAGAAGCAAATCCAGAAAGAAAAAACAGACTGAAGTTGTAGTCAACAGCCCATATGGTGCATAAGATGTTTTCATATAACACTTAATCGTATTAGGGGAAACCTTTCCATTATTTTAATAAAGAACAAACGAGAAGATGAATGTGTTCTGTTATCTTACCTCTATAATAAACAAACACAAAACAAATTGGGCATTTCTTATACGTATTCTGTTATCTTACAGCTATAACAAACACAAAACAAATTGGGCATTTCTTCTACGTTTAATACCAGTGGATTTTTATTAGGCTATTAATATCTTCCCCTCTCAGTACAGTATAGCACCTAGTTAAGCCATAAGTCCGGTCTGTGAACACTCCATCACCTAACAAAACAAAGACTATGTCGAACGCCCATCTTCTCGACCAGGCGCTACACACTCCAATCTGTGGCCTGTATTTGTATATAACTGTCAGTATATCAGGACACTGCTAGCACCGTCCCACCCCTTCACACCTCTTCAAGTTGTATCAAGTACCCTATAAGACCGGGTGGTTTCGTCAATGCAATCGTTAAAGCCTCGCTTCCATAAATTGACAAGACACCTAACATGAGGTAGAGCCTACTGTCATTCAGTTTATCAAACGATTTTGTTGCACCGTGTCCCCTTCGTTACTCAGTCATGTGATTATGGATATCATTGCTTTTAATGTTTTAATCAGTGCTTTGGAATGTTGTGGATATGATTTCTTTTTTTCCCTTGTCATATTATATATATATATATATATATATATATATATATATATATATATATATATATATATATATATATATATATATATATATATTGATAATTATCGTGTTTTAAAAAGGCTAATTAAGTTAAAGTTGTAATTTATATAACTCAAGTATGTTAAAGATGTGTTCTATTGCCTGTATTTAAACTTCTTCTTCTTCTTCTTCGTTCTTACAATTTAAACAAAATGCTTGATTGACTGTTTTGTTAAGTTATTTAAATAACCTTTCTCAAGTTATTTTATCGACCTTCTATAAACTTATTTTATAAAATTTTTTTTTGGCCTTCTATTAAAATATTTTATTGACCTTTTGTAAAGTGATTTAATTTATTTTTTGTAAAGTTATTTTATTGATCTTTTGTGAAGTGATTTTATTGACCTTATGTAAAGTTATTTAAATGACCTTTAGTAAAGTGATTTAACTGACCTGTTGTAGCTGATTGTGTCGTTGTACTGACATTTCGAAAGTTGTATCTAGTTAAAAGATAGGATATAGTGATGCAGGGGTCTCCAAACTTTTCAGCCCTTGGGCCGCATTAACTATCAAATATCAGTTCGGGGGCTAGAGTTTCTTCCATGCATCTCTTCGGGGTGGTAGAGCCCCCCCCCCCCTCCGAAGAACATCTATCCCCCCTCAACGAAATATAATTTAGATAGAAATATATACAAATTTGAATTTTCTGGGCAAAGTTCCTCAGCCACCTCTAACAAACATTTTTTTTTTCCGTGGACAAGAAGATCTCAGCGGGCCGGATGAGAGGACTTTGCAGGCCGCATTCGGCCCGCGGACCGTAGTTTGGAGACCCCTGTAGTAATGTATTGACTTAATATAGTCAGTGGCGTAGCGAGGTCGGGTGTCACCCGGTGCGGCACTTAATGGTGTCACCCCCCCCAGAGGCATAGAGACCCTTCCCAGGGACAAACTTTCAAGTTTTCGATTTGCACCCCCCCCTCAAACTTTCGATTTGCACCCCCCCTCGAGTTTTCGATTTGCACCCCCCCCCCTCAAACTTTCGATTTGCACCCCCCCTCGAGTTTTTCTCTATATATTTTGCTATTTTTTGCCTTGGTGTCACCCCCCTAAATGGTGTCACCCGGTGCGGTCCGCACCCCCCGCCCCCCCCCCTCGCTACGCCCCTGAATATAGTCCACTTAATATAGTCCACAGTTGTGCTATACTCAACCCATGTAAGTTAAATTTCTTTCATCAAACAGCCGACCGAGTATCAGACAGTGTCCAGCCAAATCCAACTATGACGTCGCTACCCGCGGTCTCCATCTCCATGACGTCACAACGTCCACGGCATTGGTCTCAGCCAAGCTGGACAGACGCGGCCCGCCGACCGAACCACTGGTCACACCCATCTACCACACGAGCACCTACGTGCTGGACAAGATGGCGGACATCGTCCCTGGCATTGTTGATGTACGTATGTCTAAGTAGTTCTTCTTCTTCTTCTTCTTTAACATTTTGAATAGGAGATGACCTAATAAAATGAAGTCTGCTGTTCTTTCTGTATTTGCTTCCAATAGCCATAGATCAAGGCAAACAATGCCTCTTTCAGGCAACTCATGGAGGAAGGGGAGATAAGCATCGAATGAATTTAAAAAAAATATTATTTACATAGAAAATATATACTTTAACTAGTGCTCGCTCCCCCCATCCCTACCACATTATTTTTGTCGACCCGAGGTGGTTTGGTGTCTCAAGCTGATGAACCTTATTCGCTTAGGGACATTTGGGTTACCAATCATGCAACGCCCCACCCCCACCAATCATGCAACGCCCCACCCTCACCAATCATACAACGCCCCACCCCCACCAATCGTACAACGCCCCACCCCCACCAATCGTACAACGCCCCCCTAATCATACGACGTCCCCCATCAATCATACGACGCCCTCCCCTACCCAAATCATACGACCCCCCTGCTTAAACTAGTTGATATATAACGCTAAAGACCCCTATAAAATGACCCCTCTATGTGTCCCCACAGGGCGGGTCCGTCTATTCTCGCTTATCCAACCCGACCACGGAAACAACCGAGGCCGTCATCAACGCCATTGAAAAGGGGGCGGGATCTCTCACATTTAGCAGCGGAATGGCGGCTACCACTTCCGTTCTCTTAGGATTTCTCAAGTCTGGTGATCACGTGGTGAGTGGAACTAGGTCAGACGGCCATTGTTATTTTATTTAGAGCCAGACAAAGGCGTGAAGCCTACATATTTTATACGGTTTAAATCAGAATTCTGTCGCTTCTTTTTTTTTTTAATGTTTCGTTTTAATTATGCATCGTTTGAAATAAGTATAACCAAAACAATAGTACAGAAAGCCTTTCACGCTTAATGGCCAGATAAAAATAGATTTGACCTGTTTGTATCTTATATTTTAACAGCAGTAACAGCACATAAAAAATAAATAAAAAAAAAACAACAACAACAATAAAATAAAATAAAAAACAAACTATTTATTATGAACACCAAACAATAATTGTTCGGGCAAAACTAGCTAGGCAGACCACAATATTACGAGGAATCGAACATTTGCCATAGACCTACCTATATTATCAGACATGGGACTGCGTGACCTAGTGGTAGAGCGTTAAACTGCTAACCCTTAAGTCTCGAGCTCGAATCCGGGCTAAGGTCAGTACAACATCCCTGAGTCCACCCAGCTCTGATGGGTACCTAACTCACTTTAGGGAAATTAAAGGCTGCTAGGTATAGTGCTGACCAAACTATCTCTTGAAATGCCGAGGTCACAGAAATAGGTAGACTCTAATTCACTTGCCCCATTGACCGTCAGGTTCAAAAGGGAAATTTAATTTACTAAGACCACGAAAAGGAAAATTTAATTTACTAACACCAAAATAGACCGTCCATTTAAATTTTATCAACACCAAGAAAAAAACATCCAGTCTATTTTCAGATCCAGCAGATTCCAGTGTACCCCGGCACGGGAGCGGCTCTCAAAATGTTGAAAGATTCTTTCAGCCTCGAGGTGACAACTGTCACAAGCGTGACAGTGGAGGAGGTGACACGTCACATACGGCCCAACACAAAGGTGACGCTTCGTGTTACACGGGTGTGCTAATATGTGTACAAGCGTGTGCTAATGTGTGTACAAGCGTGTGCTAATGTGTGTACAAGCGTGTGCTAATGTGTGTACAAGCGTGTGCTAATGTGTGTACAAGCGTGTGCTAATGTGTGTACAAGCGTGTGCTAATGTGTGTACAAGCGTGTGCTAATGTGTGTACAAGCGTGTGCTAATGTGTGTACAAGCGTGTGCTAATGTATGTATACGCGTGTGCTAATGTGTGTACAAGCGTGTGCTAATGTGTGTATACGCGTGTGCTAATGTGTTCGTATGTGATAGGATTTCAAGGACTTTTTAAAATTCTCTTTTAAATGTTATTTGAATCCTTCTTACTCCAGGAAATATTGCAAGTTGAGAACAACACTAATTAATGTTTTTCTGGCGTGATGCAATCGAATGAGACGAATGTTAATTTGTTTGTGCTGTCCTCAGATGCTCTGGAGTGAGACCACCTGTAATCCAGACATTAACTTCGTCCCAAATTGCAGAAGATTTAGAATCCCTGTAACCCAGATATCTATACTGTCCCCAGATGTTGTGGATTGAGACCCCCTGTAACCCAGATATCCATACTGTCCCCAGATGTTGTGGATTGAGACTCCCTGTAACCCAGATATCTATACTGTCCCCAGATGCTGTGGATTGAGACTCCCTGTAACCCAGATATCTATACTGTCCCCAGATGCTGTGGATTGAGACTCCCTGTAACCCAGATATCTATACTGTCCCCAGATGGATTGAGACCCCCTGTAACCCAGATATCTATACTGTCCCCAGATGTTGTGGATTGAGACTCCATGTAACCCAGATATTTACGTAGTTGACGTAGAAGGTCTGACGCAGCTGGCCAAATCAAAGAACATTCTAGTAGCTGTGGACGGGACTTTTGGCAGCCCGGCCCTGCAGCACTTTATGCCCCTTGGTATCGACTTCTCCGTCCACAGTTGGTCAGTGCTTCTAAGATTTATCTTTTTTAATCTTTGGATCTAATCTATGGGGTACTCCTGGGGTCGCGAAAGGTTTTTAGGGGTCTCCAACTTGTAAACTAAACCAAACAGAAATATTTTTTTTTTAACTGTAAAGGGGTCACTGGTGAATGGGTCGCCACTCGAAATTGTTTTGGCAACCTATGATCTAGAGGAAAGTTGTTTGGTATGTTAGTTGGCTTGAACATAAAAAAAACAACATACAAATACAACATGAATCTTCTCCAGCACGAAATATATGGGCGGCCACTCTGATCTGATAGGTGGGTGTGTGACGACACGGACAGTAGAGCAGTGGCGGATCTTGAAACACATGCAAGGTTTGCTAGGCAACATGCTGGTATGTTGTTTGCTATTCTTGTCACATAAAAGCACATACAATTACAAGTATAGAAATAGCACAATATTACGGTGTGGTCTAACGTTAGAGCGCTAGACTGCTAACCAGATAGTTTCGAGTTCGAATCCGGGTTTAAATCAGTGGAACGTTCGGAGTCCACCCAGCTCTATGGAGTATCTAACATTAGGGAAAGTAAAGGCGACTGGGCATAGTGCTGACCTCACTATCCCCCCACTATCCCCTCATATGCCGAGGTCACGGAAACAGGCAAACTCTAATTTACTTGCCACATGGACCGTCAGGTTCAAAAGTGAACTTTACATTTACAATATTACTCAACATTGATGTACTGTTTAGGTAAATGTAAGTCCTAGCCCCCCCCCCCCCACACACACACAACGAAACTTAAAACAATTGTATATTCCAGTCCCCCCACGACGCCAGCCTGCTACTGAGAGGGCTGAAAACTTTGTCCCTGAGGATGGAGAGAATCAGCGAGAACGCCATGAAGGTGGCCACGTACCTGGAGCAGCACCCTAAGGTAGTTTTCTTAGAGACTGTACACATGGGAGGTAATTTAGTTAGAGATTGTACAGATGGGAGGTAATTTAGATAGATACTGTTTAGATGGGAGGTAATTTAGTTAGATACTGTCAAGATGGGAGGTAATTTAGTTAGATAATGTCTAGATGGGAGGTAATTTAGTTATAGGCTCTCAATATGGGAGATAATTCACTTAGAGATTGTCTAGATGGGAGATAATCTTTTTTTGTAAAAAAAAAACAACATTGTAGATAATTTAAAGTATAAATGGGAGATAATTTTTCTCGAGACTGTCTAGATGGGAGATAACTTATGTTAAAAAGTAGACAATGTGTGCATACAGTTATGAAAGGTTTAAATGATATAATTCTATTTCTTTTTTTTTTTAAATTTTACTAGTTAACTTATGCTTTTGAAGAAAAAAAAATAAAGCTACATTGCGAATGAGATGTACAAAATCTAGTTTTATGAAGGAAATATTTTTAAAAAATCTCAAAATAAATATTTTTACAGCTATTGTTGAAATATAATAATAAAAAAGGGCAAAGAACAAAACAAATTATAATTGAGAATCTGTACATATTTTTATTATGACGTAAACAAATAACATGTTGCAAATGTAACCATTCCTCGCCTTCTCAAGTTTAACCGACATTTTCGCACAGTTTTTAATCTTAATGAACCTTTTCCCACTTGTGCTGATATATTCATCTAATACGATTTACCATTGTATGCAAAGATTATCTAAAAGGTTATGAACACAGGTCAACACGGGATTAGACTTAAGGTAATTGCAATTAAGGCGTCGTCCGGTTGAATCTGCACCACCAAGTGACGTCACGCGTGGTTGAAAATTAATTTTCGAATTAGTTAAAGTAGTTGAATAGATTTTTTATAGCATACTTCACTTTTGGTTATCGTCTTCAAAAATCTGCCATATCTGACCGATATATCTGATACTATCTGATACGTGTATGGTGACCTCAATGGTGACATGAGTTGTCTCCCATTCTACAGGTGAAGAGAGTTAGCTACCCTGGCCTCCCCTCCCACCCCCAGCACAAGATAGCTCAGCGGCAAATGTCAGCCTACAGTGGGATGATCATGGCTGAAATCAGAGGCGGAGAAGCTGAAAGTCGCACAGTGGCGGAGGTAGGGGTTTGTGTCCAGTTAGATTGGGTTTCTTTCAGGTCATTTTTTCTGGAGATGGTAGTGGGGGTGTGGTGAGGAAGTCGTGTTATATATATTGTCTGTTTAAATTAAGTTACATTTACAATTCTATTTCATCATCCGGGGTGAGGGTGGGGGAATGGTGGTGGATGTTTTTGGGCAGTGCCGCCCCCTTCTCAACCCCCCCCCCCCAACTCCAAACGGAGAAATGACAGAAAGAAACACCAGTAGTATAAATTGTACCATTTTCAGAGACTGATGTAGTGTGTATAGGCTTGTTCAGAGTGTCATTAAAAACAATTTTTGTCTATGGTAAAACTAGGTAAACGTTAAGTTGGTAAACCTTTATGGATTTTTATGGAATAAATTAATTTGGTGCAGGTAATTAATTAAATTCGATAAAGAGAATAAATACAAGTTGTATTTATAAAAGATTGGAATATGACAAGGGACAGAAGGTGCCTGTGTTTTTATTGTATGGCGATATGTGATTGTTTTCACCTAACCCAGCTTTGTTGTATATAATATGTGTGTTATGTGTGAATTTAAGTATTTGATGTGTTATATGTGAATCCAAGTGTATAATATGTGTGTTTTATATGTGAATTTAAGAATATAATATATGTGCTACGTGTGAATTTAAGTATGAAATATGCATGCTATGTGTGAATCCAAGTATATTATATATGTATTCTGTGTGAAACCAATTATTTAATACGTGTGTTCTGTGGGAATAAAGTATATAATATGTGTGTCAGTTCAGTTCTGTTGGTTGTGTGTGAACCTTATTCCTATGGATTCTAGAACCTTCGGATCGTGCGACTCGCTGTATCGCTGGGTGGGGTCGAGAGTTTGGTGGAGCACCCGTTCAGCATGACCCACGGGCAATACCTGATGACCCCAGAGGAGACACGTGATAGTGGTATCACCCCCGGCATGCTAAGGATCAGGTACACAGGCGTACTTGTTATTACTGATGTGTGATAGTCGTGTGTAGGTGTTGTGTGTAGGTGTGTGTTGTTGTGTGTAGGTGTGTGTTGTTGTTGTGTGTAGGTGTGTGTAGTTGTCTTATGTAGGTGTGTGTAGATTTGTGTAGGTGTGTGTATGTGTTGGGTGGAGGTGTGTGTAGTTGTCTTGTGTAGGTGTGTATAGTTGGTGTGTGTCGGTGTGTGTAGTTGTTGCGTTTAGGTGTGTAGGCGTTGTGTGTAGGCGTGTGTAATTGTCTTATGCAGGTGTGTGTAGGTGTTGTATGTAGGTGTGTGTAATTGTCTTATGTAGGTGTGAGAAGTTGTTGCGTGTAGCTGTGTGTAGTTGTGTGGAAGTGTCTGTGTATATGGATGTAAGTCGTCAAAGTCAAATTTTTGTAGACCTTATAAGCGACCGTGTAGTATTTGTGTGCTATTGTGTGTTGTTTTTATGTGTAATTTGTGTGTGTGTGTGTGTAGTTTGTGTGTGTCGTCGATTGTCGTTGTGTGTAGCTGTGGTGTTTCTGTTGCATCTAGCTGTAGTTTGTGTGTAATTGTTTTGGATAGTTGAGTGTTGGTATGTGTAGTTGAGTGTAGGTGTGTCTTCAATTTCAATATCGTATGGTGTTTGTGTGTGGCGTTGTTGTGTGTAGGTGTGTGGAGTTGTTGTGTGTAGGTGTGTGTAGTTGGTTTGGGTAGCTGTGTGAAGGTATGGTAGTTGTGTGTAGGTGTGTGGAGTTGTTGTGTGTAGGTGTGTGTAGTTGGTTTGGGTAGCTGTGTGAAGGTATGGTAGTTGTGTGTAGGTGTGTGGAGTTGTTGTGTATAGGTGTGTGTAGTTGGTTTGGGTAGCTGTGTGAAAGTAGGAGTAGTTGAGTGTAGGCGTGTGTCTTCAATATCTTATGGTGTTATTGTGTGTAACTGTGTGTGTATTTGATGACTAAGTGTTTTCTGCACTGGTGAAATATTTACCCAGTCACAATCTATTTCTGTCCTTTATATCCTCAGCATTGGTATAGAGGACGCCGAGGATCTAATCAAAGACTTCGAACAGGCCCTCTCTAAAACTGTCCTGGATCCACGGGTTATAAACGGGAGTTAATTAGACCGAGTCATCAGCTATCATACAACACTCGATGTCCATTTGTTTTGTAATAATGGTGCAGTAATGTTGTAGTAATATTGTAGTCATGTTATAGTAATGTTGTAATACTGTTGTAGTAATGGTGTAATAATTTTGTAGTAATGGTGTAGTAATATTATAGTAATGTTGTAGTAATAATGTAGTAATGTTGTAATAATGTTGTAGTAGTGTAGTAGTATTATTGAAATAATGTTGTAGCAAAGTAGTAATGATGTAATAATGTTGTTATAAAGGTGTAGTACTGTTGTAGTACTGTTATAACAATGTTGGTGAAATAATTTTGTAGTAATGTTGTAATGATGTTGTTATAATGATGTTGTAGTATTGTAGTACTATTGTAATGATGTTGTTATAATCATGTTGTAATAATGTTGTTGTAATAACTTTGTAATAATGTAGTAGTTTTGTGTTGAACTGAATCTAGTAAACATGTCAAATGGACGTACACAAAGTTAACGAGTACTATTTTGGCGAGTCTGTTGTGTGTAAGATTCTTATCAGAACTAGAGCTTTATTAGAGCCACAATCGCAATGATCTGACTATTTTTAATGTTAGACTGTCAAATATTATTTCATTTCGTTCTTGTATAATTATCTTTTTTTCTTTTTTTTCCTCAAACATGTAATTTACAGCGTCAGTAATACTACTTTCTGAAATGTAGCATACTTTCATTCATTTAAGATGGTTTATTTATACATAGATCTAATACAAAACGTCTAATTACAATTTTATTTTATATAAAAACCCTGAAAATGCAAATGTGTAATTAAATGATGTTTCGAGGGATTTTTTTCCCATCGGGGTCGTGGGCTGAGGGGAGTTTGGCTTTTAAGTAGAGCTGAAATAAAAATGGGATTACAGAAAATTAAAATTTTAAAAGTTTTAAGCAACCGGAATGTTATGTTGATTACAATAAGACGCATCAAATCAAACATTCTTCCCTTTCAAACATCTATATCTTAGCAGACCTCCCGCAATTATCTAAACATTTAAAATAGTAATAACGAGCTGACCCGCGGCGAATCATTCGCCTCTATTTGTTTTATTTTCTACTTTTCAGTACTTCATAGTTAGTGAATTCGACTCTACCCTTCCTTCCACACTACCCCCCCCCCCCCCCACCCCCGCCGCCGCGAAAGCAGCCTTCAGTGACGATAGTTTACGGACGACAATGAAAATATCAAGCAGAATTTCTTACTTCTTTCAAAACGCTTAAAAGCTAAATTAGCTGCCCCTAATACCCGTTACTAATTCGACCCAGCTCTACGATTGTAAACATTCGGGGTGAACCTAGGCTCACCAAAATGGTGGGGATGGTAACTGTTTGTCTAGAGAGCGGGGGAGTAACGGCTTGCGTTTACGTGGTGTCTCGCATGGTCCCCATGAAGAGATTGATATATGTCAGGGGTCGGCAACCTGCGGCTCGCGAGCCGCATGCGGCTCTTTTGATGTCGAGGTGCGGCTCTTCAGCTCTACGCACAAATATTAATAATTATTTTATTTTATTCTTGAAAGTCATAAAAATATTAGTCTGCAACACTCGGTAATGAACGATCTATAATAATAGTTTCGCTGTCTGTGTATGTATCTATCTATCTGACAAGAACGCTCTGTCTGACAAGAACGCTCTAGAGAAAACATAAGAAAAAATTCTATCTGACAAGAACGCTCTAGAGAAAACACAAGCAATTTAAAAACTCTCACAGTGAAACGAAAGACGAAGTATGACGTCGACACATTTAGCATAGAGTAGAAAATAATCTCAAACCCAGAGAGTGCTCACAGTTATATGACGTCATTGATTTTCGCGTTAACATTGAATAAAAAGGAAATGTTGTCTAATCTAAATGGTTTGCGTGAAGAGTTTCTTGCATACAATTCTTCGGGTAGGGGCGAAGCCCCACCCCACGCGTAGGAACGTCTGAGCCCCCCCCCCTCCCCAACTCAAAAGAAATTTCTTCATCGATACTCTATAATAAAATTACCGCCTAATTAATGTTTCTAATCTAAAAAGTGGTTTTCTTGCAATTTCTTTAATGCAATTCTTCGGGTAGTGGCTAAGCGCGACACCAGTGTTTCTTTCAGACTTTTTCCTCCCCGGAGAGGGGTGGGGGTAATTGAAATTTTCGGGGACGGGGGTAGAATTTTCGGGAAGGGGGGCGGACACTGGAAAAAGTATATAATTATATTTCGTTGAATGGGACGGTAGACATGATTTTTTTGAGAGTGGGGGGTGGGGTGTGGGGGGGTGGCGGGGGGGGGGGGGGGGTGCGGGGGTGTGGGGGGTGGTGTGTGGGTGGTGGGGGGGGGGGGTGGGTGGTGTGTGGAGGTGTGTGTGTGGGGGGGTGGGGTAGGGTGGTTTCCTCATCGATACTCTATAATAAAATTACCACCTAATTAATGTGTCTAATCTAAAAAGTGGTTTTCTCGCAATTTCTTTCATGCAATTCTTCGCGTAGTGGCTAAGCGCGACACCAGTCGGGGTGGGGGTGGTGTGTGTGGGGGTGGGGGTGGGTGGGGGTGGGTGGGGGTGGTTGGGGGGTGGTGTGTGGGGGGTGGGGGTGGTGTGTGAGGGGGTGGGGGTGGGTGGTGTGTGGGGGGGTGGAGGTGTGTGTGGGGGGGTGGGGGTGGGGGTGGGTGGGGGGGTGGGGGTGGGTGGGGGTGGTTGGGGGGTGGTGTGTGGGGGTGGGGGTGGTGTGTGAGGGGGTGGGGGTGGGTGGTGTGTGGGGGGTGGAGGTGTGTGTGGGGGGTGGGGGTGGGGGTGTGTGTGTGGGGGGTGGGATGGTTTTAGTTTAGAGAAAAGAGACAGCACTATCAGCCTAGCGCCCGTTGTACCCTTCCTCAACGGGCCATTTATCTAGTATAATAATAAATATAAACAATAAACACTCGCTATTCTATTTGCGAATTTGACATTTTATTTTCGCAAATACCTCCCCATGAGTATTCTCAACAGCTTCCTAAAGTTTCATGGCGATCGGATGATGAAAGGTATAGTAATGAATAAAAGACAGACACACACACACTTACATACATTGATATATATATATATATATATATATATATATATATATATATATATATATATATATATATATATATATATATATATATATATATATATATGTATATATATAAACCTAATCCTAATCAAAGATCATAATATTAAAATAAAAATGTTAGTGGCTCTTTAAAGGCTTGCAAATTTTGTAAATTGTAACTTTTGGCTCTTCTGTCTGAAAAGTTTGCCGACCCCTGATACATGTAGATAATTCATTTGGTAAATATTATAAACAGCTGACAGATACAACAAGGTTACTGAAACCTAACGGACCTAACCGACCTTAGATTATTTTTGTTGAGATTGTACAGAATGGGCTTAACATTTCGGTTTTTTGGATCAATTATTAATATTTCAATCAATTTGTTTTTATAAGTTAATTGTGCTAATTGATTGTTTTAATGAAAACTATTCAGTGGTTTTAATGTTTTATTTTGTTATTATTTAATTTCTTTTTATGTTTCATGGATGTTTTGAAACATAATTAATAGGTTGTTTCCCCTGGTTATTTCGATTTTTGTGTATGGGAAATAATTAATGACGCAAATAACGAAATAATTGTTCGCGTTCAATAGCCTGAGATGATGTCCCCACATTTCACTACGTTTGTAAATACGTTTATTTTAATGTTAATTTTGCTTCTAGCTCAGGAGACTACCGATAAATTGTTAATTTATATTTCATAATTTATGTAAAAATGTTGTTGACTTTAAGTTTTAAACTCAATTTCAGGCATTTAGCAGTGCGCCCTTAAATATTCCGGGTTCATCGTAAGAACCTGCCTTGTGTCAGTCCCAAACCTAATGTTATTTTCCATTTTAATGGTTTACTGTCTATAAACAAACACATCTTTAGCCCTATATCGATCCCTAAGAAGGATTTTAATTTATATTCTCAGAAGATTCTTAAATGCAGAGGCGTAGCGAGGGGGGGGGGGGGCGGGACATATGTCCCCGGGCGCCAACCTGAGGGGGGGGGGGGCGCCAAATTGAAAGTTTGAGGGGGGAGGTGCAAATGAAAAGTTCGAGGAGGGGGGTGCAAATCGAAAGTTTGTCCCCGGGCGCCGGGAAAGGTCGCTACGCCTCTGCTTACATGTTATCTTGGTTGATTTACTTAAAAACTATAATTTTCTATAAAGAATTTTTGATAAATAAACATGCTTCATATCTTCATCTCACAAACAAACCTTGAGCACAAAACTCCATCTCTGGCTACTAGACTTGTCAATCTCAAGTCTGATGCTGTTTTTATGTTTCTTGTGCTTATATCGTCACAAACAAACCTTTAGCACAAAACTCCATCTCTGGCTACTAGACTTGTCAATCTCAAGTCTGATGCTGTTTTTATGTTTCTTGTGCTTATATCGTCACAAACAAACCTTTAGCACAAAAACTCCATCTCAGGCAACTAGACTTGTGTCAATCTCAAGTCTGATGCTGTTTTCCTGTTTCATGTGCTTATATCGTCACAAACAAACCTTAGCACAAAACCTCCATCTCTGGCAACTGGACTTGAGTCATTCTCAAGTCTGATGCTGTTTTCCTGTTTCTTGTGCTTATATCGTCACAAACAAACCTTTAGCACAAAAACTCCATCTCTGGCTACTAGACTTGTATCAATCTCAAGTCTGATGCTGTTTTCCTGTTTCATGTGCTTATATCGTCACAAACAAACCTTTTGCACAAAACTCCATCGCTGGCTACTAGACTTGTGTCAATCTCAAGTCTGATGCTGTTTTTATGTTTCTTGTGCTTATATCGTCACAAACAAACCTTTAGCACAAAAACTCCGCCCCTGGCAACTAGACTTGTGTCAATCTCAAGTCTGATGCTGTTTTCCTGTTTCATGTGCTTATATCGTCACAAACAAACCTTTAGCACAAAAACTCCGCCCCTGGCAACTAGACTTGTGTCAATCTCAAGTCTGATGCTGTTTTCCTGTTTCATGTGCTTATATCGTCACAAACAAACCTTAGCACAAAAACTCCGACTCTGGAGGTCCCTGCCACACCACAACATAGATCGACGCGGGTTTGTTTCAACCCATTACATCATCAAAACTTTCCGGATTCAAACTTCCATATCAGCAGAGCACTAGAAACATCCAATAATTGATACACCGGGAATATTTGTAACGAAAAATTTGTATAATACAAATTAAAGCAATGGCTATAAACTTGTTTATTGTATTTTACTGATAAAATTTTCTGCCTTCTTAGCACTTTTCTTTGGCTATCTCCGTATTGGAAAACCGTTAGTGTGGATCATTAATTTTTCAGAAAAATCAGAGAAGTGTGTCTCAGTCGGTGAGGTTGAATTCTGTAGCGGTTGAGTGATTGAGGGAACGGAGGGTGGTGTTGGGAGGGGGGGGGGGGAAGATGTTGGAGGGGGGCATTACGTAGTTAAGTATTAGTTAAACATCAAAACAAATCAACAAGTAAACCTAAACGTGTTATAAATAGCTTTTTCAATATTATACAAATTATATTTTTTGAAACAATACCGTATACATTTTTTAAATTAGAGCAAAATTATTAATCTAGTGTCTATAAAGTTTATAAAAAGACAATTAATTGTAAAAAACTTTTAATTTTTGTATTTTATATTATAATATTTAGTTATTCACTCGTCAAATTTTGTTGACTTTTAATTCCTCTCTATTTTTAAGGATATTTGGGGACTTATCTAGAGGTTGTTTCCCTTGTACATTTTCTGTGTATCTGTTCCGTTTCAGGGGAAATATTTTTTCTAAATACATAATTGTATTAACATTCCCCCCCCCCCCCCCCACACGCACACACACATACACACACATACACATACTAGCCGTGCCGGCCAAACCGTGCACTGGCATTTGAGGTAAATGTTATTTATAAACGGCCATGACAGGTTCTTGTTAACCATCATATAATACCCTGCTCTTTCCCCGGTGTTTGGGAATTTATACAATTTTCAATTAAAGTCTGTTTTATGAAAATCTGTTTTATTTTATCTCTGCTATAAGACCTCTTCACAATTTTCAATTTTTTTTTCTTTTTTTCTTTTTTCTTTTGGCCTCAGACAAGTAATTTACAGCGTCTGTTGTGTGTGTTCGCTTATTCAATTAAAGGCATTCTTAACTTACAAAAAGATGTTACTTTGATCATAATGGTGTGGATACAATTTTACCTGATGTAGGAACATGTACATGATATGAAGGGTGATTGCTAAATGTTTAACTTTCTGAACAAAATTAGATTTTTACTTAAATTACCCCTTTATACTGAAAGCTAGAATTATAACGTATTTTTTTTCAAAAAGCCAACGCTTAGCAGGTATTTCAATAAGCCTCTTCATATATCAGTTACTAAAGACGGTTTGGTTAGGTCAGTTTTGGTTCCCTTTAAAATCGATTATTGAGATGACTCTAATTTTCCAGACAAGAAGAGAGTGAACAGCAAACTTTGAAAGAAAGAATTCCCCTGCAACTTACCAGCAAGTATCCCCCGATCTAATAGGTGTAACAAACAAATCACACATCACCCGCTATGCATATATATATATATATATATATATATATATATATATATATATATATATATATATATATATATATATAATCGCGTATTCGCGTATCTAACCTATGTTACAAGTGTAGTGTCAAATGACGATGCTACTGACAAAGGCATTCAGGCAAGAATGAACACAGCACGGTATGTATTTAACATGAGACAAGAGTGAAGACCTCAACTGCACGGCAAAGAAATACAGATCTCATAAACTTCAGTTTGAGTATACAAACTTTTGTGTGCGATTTCACTTAGGAACACGGAGATGAGCTAATGCATCAACTAATATTCTACGCGACTTTTAAAATAAATCCTGAAAGCAGTTTAGAAAATATATTGGTTAGGCAAAAATACAGATGCAGGTCCTGTTGAGATGTGCAGACAAACGACAAGGCATAAGGAGTTTGGTCTTTTTGGACAGACTGCTAAACAAACACTAAAATTGACCTACAGTAGGGGGCAACATAAGAAAACGGACTTGGAAAAAAAGTCAACCTTGAAGATGCTGGAATAGCATGGTGTGGTGGTGGTGGTGGTGGTGGTGGTGGGGAGGGGGGGGGTTGAAGCACGTTCATTCACACAATGACTGTCTCGGTACACGTTGTTTAAGCCGGTGACAGAAAGTCATGTTAACAAAAACTCTACTTCACCTGCTCATTTAGCCGAACCGTGTAACTTTCAGACACGCTTCGGGTTTAATGGAAAATGCCGGTCTGCATAAATAGAAACTAAATTAGCGATATAGGAAAGCGGGGTCAATTTAACCAGTGGTGTAAACTGACTGCATTGACCTCACCATCTCTCCAAATGCTGAGGTCACTGAAACAACAGGTGAACTCTACTTCACCTACTACCTGGTTCGAATTTTGCTTTCTGTACACTGCATGCAGGCATGCGCAGTGAGGTTAATATTTCCTGGCGTCAGACAACACAAGAAAAAAAAATGAACTCACATTACAGTTGAATCCAGGCAGGTCACAGATGGCGTATCTATCTAGGTTAAGGTCACGCTGGCTGTAGATGTGTAAGATCTGGGGTCATATCTTACAGATGTGTACCGTGTCAGGTCAGTGTGTTCAGTGTGTCAGACAGACGGTGATTCTAGGGACGGGAAGGATTTTTCTAGGATAGATTGGCCATATACCGCAGATTGTTAAACGTTGATCTAACCACGCAAGTCTTAGACATGTCTGACTTCAAGTAAAGTATATTCATACATTTTTTTAACCTTGTTCTGAAACATATTTTGTTTTTAAACTGTTAAACATGTTTTGCAACATACTATTGTTTAACTATGTTCTGCAATATAATTTTTTGTAAACCTTTAAACATGTTCTGCAACAATTTGTGTGTATGTATAAATCTTTCAACATTTGGTCCAAATTATTTTGTTTGTCAACATTTAAAAATGTTCTTCAATCTATTTTGTTTGTAAACGGTAAACACGTTCTGCAGCATAATCTATTTGTAATCTTTTAAGCTTGTTCTGCAACTATTTATTCATTTATTTCCTCGGATTGTAGAGCATGCTCGTGGAAGTAAATCTTCTATTGATGTAGCTTATATTGACCATTTTCTGTTTCTTCATTACACGCTAACAACACAGTATGGTCGGTAAATTTTTGAACATATAACTCAAGAAAAACATATTGAGGAACATAGAACTTCTGTTAAAGCTCTCTAATATCATCAGTTTCACGCCATTCATTCAGTGTTTCTTTCAGACGTTTTTTTCTACGTTGGGGCATTTGAAATTTTCGGTGTGGGGGTGGGGGATGGGATGGGCGGACACTGGAAAAATTATATTTCGGGGGGGGGGGGGGCTGAGCCCCATCGAAAAGATGCTCGATATAAACTTTTCTCTTTAGCACGCTGTCACCTTGGCAAATGAATGATAGTGTTGTCAGCACTAAGCCCAGCCGCCTTTACTTTCTCAAACGTGAGTTAGGTACCCATCAGAGCTGGGTGGACTCAGGGACGTTTTACTGCCTTGAACCCAGATTCGAACTCGAGACTTTCGGGTTAGCAGTCTAGCTCTCTACCGTTAGGGCGTTACCAAAAGCAATGAATAGTAAACAATCCTGTCTGCAAATAAACTCATACAACTATACCTCACCCCGAATAACTCTAGTTCTGATTGTTGTTAAAGAATTGTTCAAGCGTTGATTATTTACAACAGTCTTCTTCTTCTTCCTCTTCGTTCTTAATTTTTAATGTTGGGAGGGATCGAGCCATATCGAATTTATCAGCCATGAGCTTTACCGACTCGACCACGCCGACCCCTACAACATTCGATTCTAATGTTCACCAGCCTGTACATTTTCCCATCAGCCGAATCAGTATCCGATCCGACCCAGCCAAGTCCAACTACGACGACGGGGTGAGTGGCCTGAGCCTCGATGACGTCAGACCATCAACCGTCCTGGTGTCGGCCAAGCTGGAGCCTAAAGGTCCGGTCACTGAGCCACTGGTCATCCCGATCTATCACTCCAGCACGTACGTGGTCAAGGAGATGGAAGACTGCCTGGATGGGCTGAAAGAGGTAGGGGTGGTGGTTAGCGCTAGGGTTAGGGTTAGGTCTTGGGCAGGGGTCGGCAACCTGCGGCTTACAAGCCGCATGCGGCTCTTTTGATGTCATGATGCGGCTCGCCAGTTCCATAATAATTATATTAATTTGTTTTTATAACCCATTAAAAAAAACTTTAAACAAGATAAAAACACTAAAAATAGGTGGAGTAGAGCGTATGCTGACCGCTGCTTGGGCTGCTTTAGTTATTAGCTTCTAAATTGGGTAGGGATTGAAAACAAAAAAATGTGAGTGGCTCTTTCGAAATTGGGAGATTTTGTAAATTGTAACTTTTGGCTCTCCCGCCTCAAAAGGTTACCGATCCTTGGTTTAGGGCAAAGATCAGTCAGAATATCGTCAAGGAGATGGAAGAAGTCCTGGTGGTTAGTGCTAGGGTTAAGTTTAGGTCTAGAGTATATGTACAGGCGGGGGTACGGGGGTGTATGGGGAAATTGCCCCTCCCCGAAAAGGGATGACTGAAACACCGTACTGAATAGATTTCCCCTCACTTGAGCCTGGTACCCATCAAAGACTGGAGTGGCCTAACTAATATTTTAGCTCGGTAAACGTTGGCTCGACTACTCGACCACGGCGTTCCGCTGAACATCAAACTGACGCCTAATCTCATCAAAAATTGCGTCATTTAAACTTTGAGCCGCAGTAATAAGTGATTACTAAGTTATCCAAAGGATTTTAGACCCTACCCTACGGATGCAAGTTTTTTTTTTTAAAGGAAGCGTAAAGCAAATCCACGGCATTAAATTAAACAAAATGCGCTGTGACAGTTCTAACCAAGACAGACTCCACGTTAACCACCCGACTCTATTGTGTGTTAGCATTTAAGGTCTACTGTCCCGCTACCCAGCGACACGGAGGTTTTTGGTGTGCTTAGAGTACACAATACATATCTGTACTGGCATTCCAACTCGCACTATCTCATAACATTTATAGCTTATATATAACATTGGTAAAATGCGTGAGGAGAAATGACATTAGACATAATGACATGGCAGATTCACATCAAGTTGATTGTTCTCACACGGCTGGTCCGGTACTTGGTCCACATTGGAGTCAGTGTAGTAGGTCACTGGGTTTAAAAAGGTGGCTATACTAAATTTTAAAAGCAAAGTTGAATAAAATAATACAAAAATAAAAATCGGTGAACACAAAATTTTAGCAAAATTTTCTCTATAAAATATCTTTTATGTTATTACAGAGCGCCCCAATCTACCCTCATTATCTTATTGTAGGGCGCCCCCACCTACTCCCATTATCTAATTGTAGGGCGCCCCATCTACTCCCATTATCTTATTATAGGGCGCCCCATATACTCCCATTATCTTATTGTAGGGCGCCCCATCTATTCCCATTATCTTATTGTAGGGCGCCCCATATACACCCATTATCTTATTGTAGGGCGCCCTATCTACCCCCATTATCTTATAGTAAGACGCCCCCATCTACTCCCATTATCTTATTGTAGGGCGCACCCATCTACTCCAGGCTGGCCAACCCCACCACAGAGACGGCTGAGGCTGTCATCAACGGTTTAGAGAGAGGGGCGGGGTCATTGACCTTCAGCAGCGGCATGGCGGCCATTACATCAGTGATGCTTGGGTTTCTTAAGTCAGGCGATCACGTGGTAAGTCACTGCTAAATATACATTTATGAATAAGCTCATTATACTTTGATGAATAAGCTCATTATACTTTGATGAATAAGCTCATTATACTTTGATGAATAAGCTCATTATACTTTGATGAATAAGCTCATTATACTTTGATGAATAAGCTCATTATACTTTGATGAATAAGCTCATTATACTTTGATGAATAAGCTCATTATACTTTGATCAATACGCTCATTATACATTGATGAATAAGCTTATTATACTTAGTTGACTGAGTTGTTCTTCTTAGCCTTTTTAAACTCCCATAAAAGCATACATCGAATACAACGTCCTTCCTTTTTCAATTTCTCAGCGACATTTTTTTTGTCTCTCTTGATCCTTGCGGATTCCATAATCGACTCCACTATTACCACAACATCAAATCACACTATATCACAGATATTCCCCACCACTACCCATCAATCCATCACACCTGCCGCTCACCGTCCACTACACATCATCTACAACCCACCATCCACCACCATCCACCACCATCCACCACCATCCACCACCATCCACCATTATCCACCACCATCCACCACGATCCACCACGATTCACCACCACCCACCACGATCCACCACCATCCACCAGCATCCACCAGCATCCATCATCCACCAGCATCCATCACCAGCATCCACCATCCACCACCTTCCATTACCATCCACCACTAACAGACTCCACCTACTCCACCAGATCCACCAGATACCCGTGTACCCAGGGACCCTCACTGCCCTCAAGTTTCTCAACAGCTCCTACGGCGTGGAGCTGACGGCGGTCAAGGATATATCTGTGGAGGCGGTGTCAAAACACATCAAAGACAACACAAAGGTGAGACAAAACACATCAAGGACAACACAAAGGTGAGACAAAACACATCAAGGACAACACAAAGGTGAGACAAAACACATCAAGGACAACACAAAGGTGAGTTAAAACACATGAAGGACAGCACAAAGGTGAGACAAAACACATGAAGGACAACACAAAGGTGAGACAAAACACATCAAGGACATATCTGTGGAGGCGGTGTCCAAACACATGAAGGACAACACAAAGGTGAGTTAAAACACATCAAGGACAACACAAAGGTGAGTTAAAACACATCAAGGACAACACAAAGGTGAGACAAAACACATCAAGGACAACACAAAGGTGAGTTAAAACACATCAAGGACAACACAAAGGTGAGACAAAACACATGAAGGACAACACAAAGGTGAGACAAAACACATCAAGGACAACACAAAGGTGAGACAAAACACATCAAGGACAACACAAAGGTGAGTTAAAACACATGAAGGACAACACAAAGGTGAGTTAAAACACATCAAGGACAACACAAAGGTGAGTTTGTAATAACCTTTACAGCTATGCCAATATCGTTGTTGTCGCACACGTTTAGACATGTCCATTTCCCAGATATCTATACTGTCCCCAGATTGAGACTCCCTGTAACCCAGATATCTATACTGTCCCCAGATTGAGACCCTTGTAACCCAGATATCTATACTGTCTCCAGATGTTGTGGATTGAGACCCCCTGTAACCCAGATATCTATACTGTCCCCAGATGTTGTGGATTGAGACCCCCTGTAACCCAGATATCTATACTGTCCCAAGATGCTGTGGATTGAGACCCCCTGTAACCCAGATATCTATACTGTCCCAAGATGCTGTGGATTGAGACCCCCTGTAACCCAGATATCTATACTGTCCCAAGATGCTGTGGATTGAGACCCTCTGTAACCCAGATATCTATACTGTCCCCAGATGGATTGAGACTCCCTGTAACCCAGATATCTATATTGTCCCCAGATGCTGTGGATTGAGACCCCCTGTAACCCAGATATCTATACTGTCTCCAGATGTTGTGGATTGAGACCCCCTGTAACCCAGATATCTATACTGTCCCCAGATGGATTGAGACTCCCTGTAACCCAGATATCTATATTGTCCCCAGATGCTGTGGATTGAGACCCCCTGTAACCCAGATATCTATACTGTCCCCAGGTGTTGTGGATTGAGACCCCCTGTAACCCAGATATCTATACTGTCCCCAGATGCTGTGGATTGAGACTCCCTGTAACCCAGATATCTATACTGTCCCCAGATGCTGTGGATTGAGACTCCCTGTAACCCAGATATCTATACTGTCCCCAGATGTTGTGGATTGAGACTCCCTGTAACCCAGATATCTACGTAGTTGACGTAGAAGGTCTGACCCAGCTGGCCAAATCAAAGAACATTCTAGTAGCTGTGGACGGGACTTTTGGCAGCCCGGCCCTGCAGCACTTTATGCCCCTGGGCATCGACTTCTCCGTCCACAGCAGGTGAGTACTGACAGGATGTACACTCGGTACACACTGTACACATGCACATGGTACACACAGTACACATGCACATGGTACACACAGTACACAATACAAATGGCACACATTCACATGGTACACATACGCATGGTACACACAGTATACATGGCACACATACACACGGTACATATAGTACACAGTATAAATGGCACACATTCACATGGTACATATAGTACACACAGTATAAATGGCACACATACACAGGGTACATATAGTACACACAGTATAAATGGCACACATACACACGGTACATATAGTACACACAGTTTAATGTCACACATACACAGGGTACATATAGTACACACAAACTATAAATGTCACACATACACACGGTACATATAGTACACACAGTATAAATGGCACACATACACAGGGTACATATAGTACACACAAACTATAAATGGCACACATACACAGGGTACATATAGTACACACAAACTATAAATGGCACACATACACACGGTACATATAGTACACAGTATAAATGGCACACATACACACGGTACATATAGTACACACAAACTATAAATGACACACATACACACGGTATATATAGTACACACAGTATAAATGGCACACATGCACAAGATACACATATGCATGGTACACTTTGGACATCTACATGGTACACATGCACACGTACACTGTGTACATGTCGCACACATGGTGCACACCATAAGCATGGTATGGCTAAACAATAATGGCCAAGATTAGGTCTCTAAAGATAAAGTAAAGTTGAGCTAAATAAAATAAAAATTTCACCAGACTTTCGACACTCCAGTTGCCTATTTATGAAGTAGATACTAGGCCCTTCATGTTTCCTGATGTATATGTGCGATTAAAAACTTTTTAATAGCCAACCCTCTGTAGAGCTAGACCATAGCCAACCCTCTGTAGAGGTAGACCATAGCCAACCCTCTTTAGAACTAGACCATAGCGAACCCTCTGTAGAGCTAGACCTTAGCCAACCCACTGTAGAGCTAGACCTTAGCCAACCCACTGTAGAGCTAGACCTTAGCCAATCCGACTATAGTGCTAGTCCTTAGCCAACCCCGACTAGAGAGCTATATTCCAGACCAACCCTGAATGTAAATAATAAAAACAATTTCTTGATCTCAGCACTAAATACATGGGCGGCCACTCTGATCTGATAGGTGGGTGTGTGACGACACGAACTGTAGAGCAGTGGCGGATCTTGAAGCTCATCCAGGGAACATTCGGGAACATGCTTGTGAGTTGCGGAACATTTAAATGTAGATTATCTTCTGCCGTTACAATAATACCGTAGCACAAATGTATTTTGATTCGCTCACTCAAAACCTTAAGGTTTTAATAATTAACTTATATTTTTTTTATTTTCGTAAACAATCGCCCTTTCCAAATTTTAGTATTAAATCAGACCCTGTTAAGTTTTAAAAGTTGGAATAAATGTTGGATTACTTCCCCTAGATTGCTAGTGATAAAATCTTGAGATTTTTTAGCCGCCCTCCACCATATAAAGCCAGTACTTATTACAATGTCCGTATGTTCCAGTCCGTCCCTGACGCCAACATATATTAAAATATCCCCCCCCCCTCCCACAAAAGACAATTAAAATAATTATAAATTTCCATCCCCCCCCCCCCACAACGCCAGCCTATATTATTATGTGTGTATGTTCCAGTCACACTCCCCCAATAAAGCCAGCCTATATTAAAATGTCCCCCTCACCGCCCCGCCCCCCCCCTCTACACCCACACACGACACTAAATAATTTTATATTCCAGTCCCCCCACGATGCCAGCCTGCTACTGAGAGGGCTGAAAACTTTGTCCCTGAGGATGGAGAGAATCAGCGAGAACGCCATGAAGGTGGCCACGTACCTGGAGCAGCACCCAAAGGTAGTTTTCTTAGAGATTGTACAGATGGGAGGTAATTTAGTTATAGGCTCTCAATATGGGAGATAATTCACTTAGAGATTGTCTAGATGGGAGGTAATTATGTTAAATAAGAGAGATAATTTAAAAGTAAATAAAGAAGATGCTATTTGAATGTATTTGTACTCGTATTCGTCGTATTCGAGGGTACTTTTGTTTTGCCACCATCGCTTTCAACAACCCTTGTACCAACTATAATCCAAACCTGAGCCCTGAGCCTAATCTTACCTTGAAGGTAACACCCACATCGATGCAATAATGTCTGTCCCTAGTCATTGTCATTTACAATTCTGTTTTTACTTTCTCGTATATACGAAGTATGGAGAAAGTCTTGTAATCGTGCAAAAAAAAAAAATCGAGATTTTTACAAATCTCGACGTTTTACACCTCACTGATACGGAAAAACATAATTTTGCAATCTTGTCCATATGTCTGTGTGTCTGTGTGTCTGTGTGTGTAAACACGATAACTTGAGTACCGTTACAGCTAGGTTGATGAAATTTTATATATAAGTATTTTATCAAAATCGTAGATCCTGATCAACTTTTGAGCGATTTCCGATAACCGGAAAGGTACTTTTTCTACTTTGAATTTTTCAAAGGCCTATAACTTGAGTACTATTTGAGATAGATAAATGAAATTTCACATGTAAGTAAAAGATCTAATTCTCTACCTTCTTTCAAATTTTGAGTAATTTCCGTTGAACGGAAGTACTAATTCCGAATTATATAGGAATATTCGAGAAAGTTTAGGGGAGATCACTCCTGGTTTATTTAACATGCGTCCGTCCGTTAGTAAAAAAAAATGTGTTGCTTCTTTTTTTTTTAACAAGCTTATGCAATGGAGTCATCTTCAACAGGTCCAGCGCGTGAGATACCCGGGTCTGACGTCACACCCCCAGCACGAGGTGGCCAGAAAACAGATGACGTCATACAGTGGCATGATCATGGCGGAGATAAAGGGAGGCGAGAAGGGAGGACGCGCCGTGGCGGAGGTCAGTAGTAGAGGTTAGAGGTCAACACTACAGGTCAAAGGTCAAGCTTACTAAGTCGCAAAGTAGAGGTCAAATTAGCAGAATGGACTAGCAAACGCACATTGTTGGTTATAGGCATTCTGAGCATGTTCCTTCGTTGGTCGAACATTGATAGCACTTAAGATGACCGTCCATTGATGGCCCATATTGATGGCCCTTATGATGACCGTCCATCGATGGCACATTTGATGGCCCTCTATTGATGACCCTTATGATGACCGTCCATTGATGGCCCTCTATTGTTGACCCTTATGATGACCGTCCATTGATGGCCATTATGATGGCCTTTCATTGATGGCCAATCACTGAAGGCCCTTGTTGATGCCCTTACAGATGACTCATCAGTGATGGCCCTTTATTGATGGCCCTTTATTGATAGCTCTGATTGATGGCTCTCGATTTACTGCGTATTTACTAATAGCTATACACGGCTTTAAAATAAACATACCCCTCTGACCCCAGTCCATACCGTCAAACCAGATGTTAAATCTACCTCCCACAGAACGTCCGCATAGTTCGGCTAGCCGTGTCCCTGGGCGGGGTTGAGAGCCTGGTCGAGCACCCCTACACCATGACCCACGGCAAGTACCTCATGACGGAGAAGGAAATGGAAGAGGCTTGCATCACACCTGGCATGCTACGTATCAGGTTAGTTCAAATCCGCTTTTTACACAAACCAACACCGACACCTGTTTTTTTTTATTAAACGGTCCACGTTTAGTTAATTATTAATTAACTATAATTATTAATATGATTTCCCTAATACGTATCTAATTTTATATGTTAAGAGTAAAGGGGTATAATCAATAAAATTACTTCTCTTTATTTGCTAATATGATTATTTCCCCTTTCTTCCTTGTTTAGCATCGGCCTTGAGGACGCTGACGATTTAATCAAAGATTTTGGACAGGCGCTAGAAAAACTTGAGCTGTAGATGCTAGTTAAGATTAACCGTTTTCTTGTTGTGAGATTAAACTGTACAAACAGTGATGTTGAGCGGGGATTAAAATTTGGATTAAAGTATCAACCCCTTTTTTAAAACTAATTAATTTTAGTGCGTTGATTGTGTTTTGTGCATTTATACAAATATTGGCTTGGAAAAGCAACTCATCAAGGAGAGAAAACTCTAAAATCAAATAACTGCTGCCTTGTAGTTTGTTCTTGGATAGACAAAGGCTATGGTAGCAAATCCAAAAACAAAAGCAGGCTGAAATCGGAGTCAACTGCCTCTATTGCGGACAAGTTTACGCATACTGGTTAATTGTTTTGTAGGAAATCTCATTCAATATAACAATAGGGTGTGTAAGTAGGTCACCGACTGCTCGTTTTCATCCGTGTCAGCTAGTATTTTTCAGAGCAAATGTAAATGTTTTTATTAAATCGGTAAAAATAAATAAATAGAAAAAAAATTACTTCCACAAAAATTGTTACGCTAAAATTGTAATTTATGATAATGATAGACTACAAAATGTAAACTAGCGTAAAAAAAAATATAGCCAACGTTAAACCGTGTTTTTTTTAAAAGAAGAGTACAGTTTGTTATTATTTATTCGAACCCTTAACAAGTTGTTCTAAGCCTGGTTCAAATATTAAAATAATATTATTAATAGCTTTAGCCCTAAGGCTACCGGTACTTAATTTGATTCTATTATTTGTACAATTTTAAAATTATTTTTGGGCACTCTTAGTATTTTGTCTGAGACTTAACGCAAGGGCTAGCTCTTAGTATTTTAAAATCTTGAAGAGAGACCTAGATACAAATAATAGCCATGTTTTTTTCATCAATGAGAATCCTGTTCACAACAATTAATTAGTTCGAAAATTCATCTCTCTCCATGGCTAACGATATTTTGAATTTAAAGTAAGACAGACTTTTAAGCCTCGTTCTCATTAAGAAAGATGAAGAGATTGAAGTAAACGTTGCAATTTTGAAATTTAAAATTCAATTTTAATGTATCGAATTCGATTGTTGTATGAAGATCTTCATTGGCAGAGTCTAAAACATTACAGAAGAAAACAATGCGTTAAAACGGTGTTAAAATTTGTGGTGTTAAGTTTCGTCTAGAACTAGGAAAAAAATAAATTACAAAAGAGTAATTTAATACTCCATTCTTGTGACATTTTGTGTTTTTGTTTTTCTGCACATGAAATATTTCACAAAATGTCAGTTTTGAATACATAACAAGTACTAAAGCAATAAAAAAAAAATGAGATTGTGAAATATTACTAAGTAGAGAGAAAGCTACGTTTTGTGGTAAATCTGTCTAATTATCCGTGCGTTGATATTTATGTTGATTCATTCACACGCATGCGCAAAGACGGCAATTATTACATGTCGAGATCGTACATCGTCTCAGCGTGACCAGCCAGTCTAACTCACGTCTCATAGACACGTGTGGTACTGTGGTCTTACAACCACACAAGTAAACACAACCACACAACCACACATACGCATCTCGTAATCACACACTAGTACACACCACAAGTACACACAACCACACATATACATCTCGCAACCACACACAAGTAACCGACAACCACACATACGCATCTCGCAACCACACACAAGTATCCGAAAACCACATATCTCATAGCCACACATCTGTGCCACACACGCTCTCACCACACTGTCTCCGCATGCCACCAACTCACCAACTCACCAACTCACCAACCCACCAACTCACCAAACTCACCAACCCACCAACTCACCAACCCACCAACTCACCAAACTCACCAACCCACCAACTCACCAACCCACCAACTCACCAACTCACCAACCCACCAACTCACCAAACTCACCAACCCACCAACTCACCAACCCACCAACTCACCAACTCACCAACCCACCAACTCACCAACTCACCAACCCACCAACTCACTAACCCACCAACTCACCAACTCACCGACCCACCAACTCACCAACTCACCAACTCACCAACCCACCAACTCACCAACTCACCAACTCACCAACTCACCAACTCACCAACCCACCAACCCACCAACCTACCAACCCACCAACTCACCAACTCACCAAACTCACCAACCCATCAACTCACCAACCCACCAACTCACCAACTCACCAACCCACCAACTCACCAACCCACCAACTCACCAACCCACCAACTCACCAACCCACCAACTCACCAACTCACCAACTCACCAACCCACCAACCCACCAAACTCACCAAACCCACCAACTCACCAACTCACCAACCCACCAACTCACCAACTCACCAACTCACCAACCCACCAACTCACCAACCCTCCACCCTTATTTTCTCTCGGCCCACCGACATTCCAACCCTAACCTTAAACTAGACCTAGTCTGCCAACCATCCAGTTTTCAACCCTCAACACTAGAACCCCATCTTTATTAAGTCAACCCTTACATTATCACAACCCCACACAACCCCACATAACACCACATAACACCACATGCCCACACAACCCCACACAACCCCACATAACCCCACACAACCCCACATAACACCACATAACCCCACCCATATTGTCTCCCCCAAACCCCCACCCTTATAGTCTTCCACCAACCCCCACCCCTTTTTTCTACTTCCAACCCCAACCCCTATTACCTCCCACACACCCCCACCCTAATTATTTCCAACCGACCCCCACTCATACTGTCCCCCACCAGCCCCCATCCCTAATGTCCCCCACCAACCCCCACCCTTATTACCTCCCACAAACCCCCCACCCCCTATTATCCCCCACTAACCACCCCACCCCTATTACCTCCCACCCACCCCCACCCCTATTATTTCCAACCAACCCCCACTCCTACTGTCCCTCACCAGCCCCCATCACTATTGTCCCCAACCAACCGCCACTCCTAATGTCCCCCACCAACCCCCCACCCCTATTATCTCCCACAAACCACCATCCCAGTTGTCCCCATCAGCCCGGGGGGTCGGGCACAAGTGGCGCCAGATCCAGATGTTCCCTGCAGCGCCATCTATAAATAGCACCCCTCTCGTTGGATGATCCCATGTCCAATTAGGTGTCGATATTTTCCACTTAAGAGATACTTACACCCTTCAGGCGGCGCGGGGAGAGGCTGCAGGCCAGAGGGGGGTGGGGGTGTGAGGGGGGGGGGCGATTCCTGGAACGTTGAGAAAGGATGAATGAGTGACTTAATTATAATAATATAATTACGAGCACGGGGAGATAGATTGAGTATGGAGAGTGGGAGGGGTGGGGAGGATGTTAAAATGGGATATGATGAAGATGGAATTCCCTGTGGAGATGTAGAAGGACTTGTGAAAAACGATCAATTTGTTTCCTGAAGAACGCCGATACCACAGGTTTTGGTTCGTGAAATTTAACGCGGTGAAACTTTTGGAAATATTAAATCTTAAAGTGTTTGTGAAATAGTTACGTCCTATGTAAAAAATGTACGGATACATTTAAATATATGTGTTTTCATTTTACAGAGTGGACAATTTTTATATCCTAAAGTACTTGTAGAACGGTCCATCTTAAAATATTTTTTTTTTACATTCTTACGTTTTTCTTTAAAAAAAAGTTACATCGGAATTGTCGAATGGTGGAGCGTATGATTTCTAACCCGAAAGTCTCCAATTCCGATCCCAGGGCTAAATTCGTATAACGTCCCTGGGTCCTTCCAGCTCGGATGGGAAAGTAAAGGCGGCTGGGTGTAGTGCTGATCCCACTATAACTTCATATGCCCAGGTCACAGAAACAGGTCGACTCTACTTCCCCTGCTACACGAAGGGTCTGGTTCGAAAATGTACTTCACTTTTTAATTTTTTTTTCATCCTCAAGTATTTGTAACTTTTTAAACCCAAACCTGCTCTTTAGACGAGCGTTCTAAAACTGATGACGTAAACGTCCACCCCACACCTCCTGTCGTTTCTGTACTCACTACCTGCCGCACATGCGCAGTGCTTGCCCGGGACAAGTCTGACGTCACGCTTGTGACATCATCCAGGTTGCGACATAATGTCTGTGTCAGACAAGTATCGAGTTACCGTGTCGACGCCAGACGGATCGATTCCTGTCACACAAGGGAATACCCGGATGAGATGTAATCGATACTTTTAAAGCTTCGACTCCCATTAGAAGATGTGTTAATACTCTGAAGGAAAACGTTTGGTGAAAGTTTTGGCAGAGGTTGATGGCGCGGGTGTAGAGATGATCTTTTGTTTTGTCAGAGGCTTAAAATTAGTCACACAGAACATTAGCTTAACGTCATCATATTGAACATCACACTGAACATAACCAAATCATCACAAGAACATCACTATAATATCACCAGAACATCACACAGAATATCAATAAAACATCACAAAAACACCACCAGAACATCAAACCAACATCATAACAACACCACACCAAACATCACGTATCAACACCACACCAACCATCACCGTAACAACATCACACCAAACATCATACCACCACGCCAAACATCACCGTAGCAACATCACACCAAACATCATAACAACATCACACCAAACATCACCGTAACAACAGCACACCAAACATCACAACACCACACCAAACATCACCGTAACAACACCACACCAAACATCACCGTAACAACATCACACCAAACATCATAACACCACGCCAAACATCACCGTAACAACATCACACCAAACATCATAACACCACACCAACCATCACCGTAACAACATCACACCAAACATCATAACACCACGCCAAACATCACCGTAACAACACCACACCAGCAAGCCAGCAAACCACACCCACCACCCGCCAATAAAAAGCTATGAATCCAGCATGTCTTATCTTACAACCCGCAACCCGTGGTTGGACTGTGACGCCACACATGCAACCTTACGGATTAGAACACGTATTTCACCGCATGGCGTGCTCCCAGCCCATGAGCTTAAGTTAAGCTCTCGATGTTGAGCTAATCAATCCAGCGTCAATGGAGTTAGCATTTGGTCAGAGACTTAAAGCTGGGGCGAGATCTTGGCTGATAGCTGTTAGGATTAGAACCCAATCCTTCGGAAGTTAAGGTT